GAACAAGGTGTGAAGGTTGTGAGGAACCCAAATCCCAGCAGGAACCCCCTCCGACCCCATTTCAATGGGAAAAACCCATGGGGAACATGGTGAGATGTCCAAAAGTTTTCTGGAACCCCAATCCCATCAGGAATCCCCTCCAATCCCATTTAATTGGGGAAAAACCCATCAGGAACGAGGTGTGAAGGTTGTGGGGAACCCCAGTCCCAGCAGGAAACTCTCTCCAACCCGATTTTAATGGAAAAAACCCATCGGGAACAAGGTGAGACTCCCAAACTTGTCTGGAACCCCAATCCCCAATCAGGAACCCCCTCCAACCCCATTTGAATGGGAAAAACCCATGGGGAACAAGGTGTGAAGATTGTGGGGAACCCAAATCCCAGCAGGAGCCCCCTCCAATCCCATTTCATTGGGACAAACCCGTCAGGAACAAAGTGTGAAGGTTGTGTAGAACCCCAATTCCATCAGGAACCCCCTCCAACCCGATTTTAATGGGACAAACCCATGGGGAACGAGGTGTGAAGGTTGTGGGGAGCCCCAATCCCATCAGGGACCCCTCCAAGGCCACCCCAGCAAACCCAGCAGGGGCGGGTCAGCCCGGATTTGGGCCGCTGTGCCGGGCACTCACTGGTCCTGCTGGCGTTGTCGTGGGCGCTCTCGGGCCAGCCCTGGCCCTCGTCGGTGTCCGAGGGCTCGCGGGGCCCCGAGTGGCGCTCGCTGCCGCTGCGGTCGCGGCTGGAGCCCGGCGAGCGCCGGCGGCGCCGCTTCCTGCGGAAACCCCGCGGCACCGGCACCCCGATGTAGATGGAGTGGTAGTCTGGGAACGGGGAGAGGAAGGGGTTAAAAAGAAATTCCTGTTTTTCCAGGGAGGAAAATGATGCGGGAAGGGCGATAAATGCGGTGGGAAAATTCTGTTTTTGTGGGAGGGAAGTTCCTGGTGGAAGGAATCTACGTGGAGGGGGAATTTCAGCAAAAAATGGGTTTTTCTGGGAGGAAAAATTCCTGATGAAAATGATCTAGGTGGAGAGATAACTATATATAATATAATTCACTTTTTTATATTTATATATATATAATATAAATTCATATATATATATATATATATATATATATAAATTCACTTTTTTATATTTATATATATATAATATAAATTCATATATATATATATAAAAATTCACTTTTTTATATTTATATATATATAATATAAATTCATATATATATATATAAAAATTCACTTTTTTATATTTATATATATAATATAAATTCATATATATACATAATATAAATTCACTTTTTTATATTTATATATATATATATAATATATAAATTCATATATATATATATATATATATATAATATAAATTCACTTTTTAGGGAGAAAAATTCCTGGTGAAAGTGATGTGGATGGAGTGATAATTGGAATAAAAAAATCATCTTTCTGGGAAAAAACCAAGTCATTTTCCTGGTGAAAATGATGTGGATAGAAAGAAAATTGGAATAAAAAAAAAATTCATTTTTCTGGGAGGAAAAATTCCTGATGAAAATGATGTAGATGGAGAGATAACGATAATAAACAATTCACTTTTTAGGGAGAAAAACTCCTCGTGAAAATGGTGTGGGCGGAAAGAAATTGTAATAAAAAATTGGAAAAATTCCTGGTGAAAGTGATGTGGATGGAGCGATAATTGGAATAAAAAATCCATTTTCCTGAAAAAAAATTTCATGTTTCTGGGACAAAACTTCCTGGTGAAAAAGATGTGGATGGGGTGATAAATTCCCGGTGAAAGTGATGTGGATGGAGCGATAATTGGAATTAAAAATTTTTTAAATCTCCAGGACATTCCTGGGATTCCTCTCACCTTCCTCATCCTCGAATCTCCTCCGGGAGCCGCCGAGGCCGCGCTCGCTCATCCCATCCTCATCCTCCAGCATGGTCCGGCTGCTCGGGGGAGCTGGGGAACGATTGGGAACGGGATTTGAGCGGGATCCGGGGTTTTATGGGATCTGGGGTTTTATGGGATCCGGGATTTGAGTGGGATCTGGGATTTAATGGGGTCTGGGAGGGGAAGGAGCTCCCGGCTCTGGAACCGTTCCCTTGGGAATGTCCCAGTGGGGACCCCCGGGCCCCTCCTGTGCCAGCCCCGCTCTCCCCTCCCCACATTCCCGAGATTTCCCTGGGATCCCATCCCTGCCCTCCAATCCCTGCTGGGCAGAGGGACCAGGAGAACATTCCAGAGATTTCCCAGCACAATCCCTGGACACAAATCTCCCCAAATTCCAGAGCCTGGCACAATTCCCGACACAAATTCCCAGGAATTCCAGAGCCCCCCATTATTCCAGAGTGACCGCAAGACATCCCAAAGGGATTTTCCCCATTTCTGATCCCACATTTCCCTGGAATTTCCCATTATTCCAGAGTGACCCAAAGGGATTTTCCCCATTTCCGATCCCACGTTTCCCTGGAATCTCCAGGAATTCTGGGGTGACCCCACACACCCCAGAGGGATTCCCCACCCCAAGTTTTCCTTTCCCCACCCCTGATCCCACATTTCCTTTCCACTTCCAGCCGTTTCCCGCTCTGATCCCGGTGGGGACCTGCCAGGGACGCTGCTGATGCATTAATTAACGGCTCCCTAATTAGCCGAGCTCCAGCGATTGCCTTTCACACTCGGCTGCCCGGGCGCGGCTGTTTCCATTCCCGCCCGGTCGATGCTCCCAAAGTCACTCGGAGGGCGATCCCGAGGGACATTCCTGCATTTTCCAGCTCTTTCGGGGACAAAAACCCCAAATCCAGCCCAAAACCTCAAAAACGGGAACGGCCAAAACCGCTGGGGCTGGCGGGGTGGGGATCCCTGACCCTTTGACCTGGGAAAATCCAATTTATCCCAGTCCAAATTAAATCCATCTTATCCCAGTCCAAATTAAATCAAATTTATCCCAGTCCAAATTAAATCCAGTTTATCCCAGTCCAAATTAAATCCAATTTATCCCAGTCCAAATTAAATCCATTTATCCCAGTGGGGATATATTCCCTTTTACCTGGGAAAATCCAATTTATCCCAGTCCAAATTAAATCAAATTTATCCCAATCCAACTCAAACCCATTTATCCCAGTCCAACTCAAATCCATTTATCCCAGTCCGATTCAAATCCAGTTTGTCCCAGTCCAGCTCCAGTCCCATCCCAGTTGATTTCCATTTGATTTCCAAGATTTGGGATATTTTCCGTCAATCGGACGGTTTTGGGCAGGATTGATTTAATTTAAGGGCAAAAAATTTCAGGTTTTTCCTCAGGAGGGAAACCCCAAACTGGGCAGTTTTAGGGATAAGGTTTATCCATGAGCCTTGGCTTCCCAAAAAACCATTCCAGGGTGAACCCTGGGGATTTTAGGAAGCTGGAAAAGCAGAAAAAGCAGGAAAGGACCCCCAGGAATGGTTTTACTCTAAAAATGACCTTTTAAAAGATGAAGGATCCCAAGCCCCAGGAAATCCCGGCAGGTTCCTGGATGATGGATTGGGGTACAGGCCCTTCCAGCTGGGATAATTCTGGGATAAAATGGGATTTTCTGGGGATCTGGAAGAGCTGGGAAGCACAAAGAAGCCCCGGGGTAAAGCCAGGCTTTGTCAGGCACGGTTAAATGGAGGCTCCCGATCGATTCCGGGCTCGCACAATCTGGGATTTTTCCCACACGGAGCTTTCGCCCCCCTAAATCCCTAAAAACCCAACCAGGAGCAGGAGTTAGAGCTGGAAAACCCAACTGGAATTCCACGGAAATCTGGGCAGGGAAAGCCAAGCCCAGCACGGCCCCCGACCCCGTGAAACCCCAAAAAGGAGATTTCCCCAAAAAGGAGATTTCCCCAAAAAGGAGATTTCCCCTCCCAAACTCACCTGGAGCTCCCCAAAGAGAGATTTGGGATTGGGCTGTGGGGTCAGGGAAAAGGGGAATTGCTGGGAGTCAGAGCTGCTCTCCCAGAGACCCCCAAAGCACCGGCCCCGATCCCATAAAATCCCAAAAACCAGATTTCCCCAAAAAGGAGATTTCCCCTTCCAAACTCACCTGGAGCTCCCCAGAGAGAGCTTTGGGCTCGGGCTGTGGGGTCAGGGGAAGCTGGCACTGTCAGGAGTCAGAGCTGCTCTTGCCAACATCCCAGCGACCCCAAAGCGCCGGCCCCGATCCCGATCCCGATCCCGATCCCGATCGATCGCGGCCGGAGCATCACGGGAGCTCGGGGGAGGGAGGGAGGGAGGGGGGGGAAGCCACGGGATCGGCCCCACACGGGGATGGGGTTTCCATGTGGGATCGCTGGGATGTGGGAAATCCACCCCAAGCTGCGGGGTTTGGGTCTGTGGGGCTCTGGGGGATTTTTCTCTGTGGGTTTTGGATCGGTTTTGGGGGATTCCAGAGGGAAAATGCTCTGGGTGCTGTGTCTGGAGCTCAGGGAATGGCAGGGAGTTCCAGCTGTGGGGTGATCCCAAATCCCCTCAGTGGGGTGATCCCAAATCCAGCAGTGGGGTGATCCCAAACCCCCATCCATGGGATGATCCCAAACCCCCTGAAGAGCCGGGCTCAGCCCCCAGGGAATCGCCCCCAGCCTGGGCAGGTTTAGGGTCAGGATTTCCATTGGGTGGGTTTAGGGTCAGGATTTCCATTGGGTTGGGTTTAGGGTCAGGATTGCCCCTGGGATTGTTCCCAATTCCACATTTTCCCTTCCACCCCATGAATTCAGGGTTGGCCCCGCTCCCTGCAGCCTTTTATGGGAACATCAATAAATCCCATCCCATCTCTTCCTACTTTGCCCAGAGGAAATCCAGAACCTGAGAGGAAAAACCCCATTTTTTTTACACTATTCCCAATGGAAGGTGAGAACAAAAATCCCCTTTTTTTTTTTTTTTTTTACAATTTTCCCAAAGATTAAAATCCAGGCCCCCAGAGGAAAAATCCCATTTTTTCCACCTTGTGCTCCGAGTCCGAATCCGAGTGCTCCGAGTCCGAGTGCTCCTCACACTCTGAGGAGGCAGGCAGCTCCTTCCTCCTCCTCATCCTCATCCTCCTCATCCTCCCAGCCGGCATTCCCGGTGCTCCCGTTGCTCCCGGTGTTCCCATTATTCCCGGTGTTCCCGTTGCTTGTGGTGTTCTCGTCATTCCCATTATTCCTGGTGCTCCTGCTGTTTCCATTATTCCCGTCGTTCCAGTTATTCCCACTATTCCAGTTATTCCCGTTATTCCAGGTGTTCCCATTGTTCCCATTATTCCCGTTATTCCCGGTCTTCTCATCATTCCTGTTATTCCTGGTGTCCCCACCATTCCAGCTGTTGTTCCCGTTGTTCCATTCCATCCTGTTGTTCCCATCGTTCCAGCTGTCCCCATTGCTCCCGTTGCTCCCGCCGTTCCCGTTATTCCAGGTGTTCCCATTGTTCCCGTTATTCCCGTTATTCCAGCTGTCCCCGTTGCTCCTGCCGTTCCCATTGTTCCCATTATTCCCGTTGTTCCCGGTGTTCCCGTCGTTCCCGTTGCTCCTGCCGTTCCCATTGTTCCCATTTCTCCCGCTGCTCCCGTTGTTCCCGTTATTCCCGGTGTTCCCGTAGCCGCCCTCCCGGGGCAGGCACCAGCAGCAGCCGGCTCCGCTCAGGTCCAGCGGGGCCGTGCCCGGGCCTGGCCCGGCATCCACGGAATCGCAGCGGGAGCGGAGCTGGTTCAGCTGCTGCCAGTGCAGCCAGGCCAGGACCAGCCCCAGCACCTGGGGAGGGACCCACAAGGGTCAGCGAGACCCCAAAGGGAACAGGGAGACCCCAAAAGGGGACAGGGAGACCCCAAAAGGGGACAGGGAGACCCCACAAGGGTCAGAGATATCCTAAAGGGGACAGGGATATCCTAAAGAGGACAGGGATATCCCAAAAGGGGCCAGGGACACTCCAGAGGAGTCAGGGATATCCTAAAAGGGTCAGGGATATCCTAAAGTGGACAGGGATATCCTAAAAAGGGTCAGGGAGACCCCAAAGGGGACAGGGATATCCTAAAAGGGTCAGAGATATCATAAAAGGGTCAGGGATATCCTAAAAGGGGACAGGGACACTCCAGAGGAGTCAGGATTATCCCAAAGGGGTCAGGGATATCCTGAAAGGGAACAGGGATATCCTAAAAGGGTCAGGGATATCCTAAAATGGTCAGGGAGACCCCAAAGAGGTCAGGGATATCCTAAAAGGGTCAGGGAGACCCCAAAGGGAACAGGGATATGCTAAAAGGGGACAGGGATATCCTAAAGGGTCAGGGATATCCTAAAAGGGGTCAGGGACACCCTAAAGGCATCAGGGAGACCCCTAATGGGGTCAGGGACATCCCAAAAGGATCAGGGACATCCCCAAAGGGGTCAGGGACACCCCAAAAGGATCAGGGACATCCCAAAGGGCTCAGGGACAATTCCCAGTCCAGCCCGGACCTGGAGGTTCCAGGAATGTTCCAATATTTGTCCCCAAATCCCGTCCAAACCCCAAACCTGCCCCTGGAATCTGGGATGGGCTGCACAGAACCCACAGAACCTGGGAATCCCTGGGCATTCCCTGCGACCCCACAGCCTGGGCCGAGCTGCCTCACCCGGGCCGGGATTTTTGGGAAGGGCTCTGGGATTCCAGGAACTGCTGGGAGAGCCAGGGACAGCCCTGGGATAAGGGGATAATAACGGGATAATTAATGAGGGGATAATTAATAAGGGGATAATAATGGGATTGTGCTGATCCCCACCCAGAGCGAATCCTTTGGGATTTCAGCTTTGCAATCCCATTTCCATGGATGTCAGCTGCAGCCCCATTCCCATTCTGGAACTGTCACCAGGCCCCGTTAAAATCCCGATCCCGATCCCCTGGAGCCAGAGAAACCCTTTGAAATGTGGGATTTGGGGCAAATTTGTCATTTTTGCCTCCGAGGAGGATTTGTGTGTGAATTCCATGGAAACAGAGCTGGGTCTGGGGCAGGGATGGCTCCTGCTCCTCTGCTGAGGAATCCCAGAAAAAATGGGAATTCTGGAAGGGAATAAACCATCCAAACCCCTCCATGGGGATCCCAAATCCCAGAGAAAAAAATGGGGAATTTTGGAAGGGAATAAAACCATCCAAAGGCTTTAGTCAGGATCCCAAATCCCAGAGAAAATGGGGAATAAAGGGAATAAAACCATCCAGAGGCTTCAGTCAGGATCCCAAATCCCAGAGAAAATGGGGAATAAAAGGGAATAAAACCATCCAAGATCCCAAATCCCAGGGAAAATGGGGAAAGGGAATAAAACCATCCAGAGGCTTCAGTCAGGATCATGAATCCCAGAGAAAACGGGGAACAAAGCAACCTAAAATCCCAAATCCCAGAGCAAATGGGGAATAGAAGGGAGTAAAACCATCCAAGATCCCAAATCCCAGAGAAAATGAGGAATAAAACCATCCAAGATCCCAAATCCCAGAGAACACGGGGAATAAAAGGGAATAAAACATCCAAGATCCCAAATCCCAGAGAACACGGGGAATAAAAGGGAATAAAACCATCAAAGATCCCAAATCCCAGAGAAAATGGGGAAATAAAGGGAATAAAACCATCAAAGATCCCAAATCCCAGAGAAAATGGGGAAAGGGAATAAAACCATCCAAGGTCCCAAATCCCAGGGAAAATGGGGAATAAAAGGGAATAAAACCATCCAGAGGCTTCACTCAGGTCATGAATCCCAGAGAAAATGGGGAATAAAAGGGAATAAAACAACCTAAAATCCCAAATCCCAGAGCAAACGGGGAATTAACGGGAACAGAGCCGCGCCAAGGCCTCGGCCCCGATCCCAGGCCCCTTTTCCGTTCCCGTTCCCGTTCCCGTTCCCCGGGGCCGCGCGCGGCGGGCGGAGCTGTCGGAGCTGTCGGAGCTGTCGGGGGTTATGGATGGATCCAATATCGGCTCCGCGGTTACGGCACCGCCGGGGGAAAACGGGAACGCAACAAGCGGGGCAGGGCTGAGGCCGGGAGAAAAGCAAAAAACGGAATTTTCCCTGGGATTGGGAGCCAGGAGTTGTTGGCTTCGGAATTTAGGGAATTCCACCCTTTCCAGGCTGGGGTTTGAGTGCCCGAGGGGTGCAAATCCATGGAAGAGGATTTTTTATTTGTCCAGGGGGTAAATAAATGCCAGGAGCTTTGGGAATCCATAAAAAATGCATAAATCCCGGGAGCTTTTGGGAATCCATACAAAATCCATAAATCCCAGCAGCTTTGGGATAAAAAAATGCATAAATCCCAGGAGTTTATGGGAATCCATTAAAATTTCCAGTGGAAATCTGGGAATTCCATGGAATGGGGCGGTCCCAAAGGTCCCTCCCAACCCAAAGCACTCCGTGGTTCCTCTAAACCTGAGCCCTGTTTCCCATGGAGAATTCCAAGGCCCAGCTCAATCCCAAAGTCCAGCTTAACTTGTGGGGTCTCTGTTGGTTCCTTTGGATCAGTTTTCCATTGGGAATTGGGGCTGGAATGGCCCCAAATCCTCCTGGGAACCCACAGACAGATCCTCTCCTCCTCCTCCTCCTCCTCCTCCTCCTCTGGGAAAAGGGCTCAGGAATGAAGGAAAAGGCCCAAAGTTCCATTTTCACCCCATTTTCCAATGGAAAAGGGAAGCCCATGGATGTTTCCCCAAATTCCCTGCCAAAATCCCTTTTCCATGGAAATTTGGGAACACTGCCCAGTTCTGGCCGGATCCTGGAATGCTGAACTTTCCCAGAGTTAACAAAGCCCAAATTGGGGTTTTTTTTTCCCCCCTCACTTTTTGGCTTTCCATTCCCTAAACTGGGATTTCTGGAGAGCTCAGATGGAAAAATCCCAAATCCCTTTCATTCCCTTTTCCCACCCCGACAACGCTCGCAAAACCCCCGGAGCCGCGGGGGAGACTGGAGAAGGAACAAATCCCAAATTAATCTTGCAAGGAAATATTGAACATTCTCCATCCCTGTCAGCGGGAGATGAAGGTGCCGGCCTGGAAAACGCCCGGCTGGAGGAAAATTCCGCGTTTTTCACGGAATGGGCTCATCCATCAGCGGGAATGACGCTGCCGGGAGGGAACGGCCGCCCCCGCGCCTGGATGGATGGGACAGAGGGAGGAATAATTCACAGGGATGGAGGGATGGATGGATGGATGGACAGGGATGGATGATGGATGGATGATGGATGGATGGATGATGGATGATGGATGGATGATGGATGATGGATGGATGGATGATGGATGGATGGATGGATGGATGATGGATGGATGGATGATGGATGGATGGATGGATGGATGGATGGATGGATGGATGGATGGATGGATGATGGATGATGGATGGATGGATGATGGATGGATGGATGATGGATGGATGATGGATGGATGGATGATGGATGGATGATGGATGGATGATGGATGGATGATGGATGGATGGATGATGGATGGATGGATGATGGATGGATGATGGATGGATGATGGATGGATGATGGATGGATGGATGATGGATGGATGATGGATGGATGGATGGATGATGGATGGATGATGGATGATGGATGGATGATGGATGGATGATGGATGGATGGATGGATGGATGGATGGATGATGGATGGATGGATGGATGGATGGATGGATGGATGGATGATGGATGGATGGATGATGGATGGATGATGGATGATGGATGGATGGATGGATGGATGATGGATGGATGGATGGATGGATGGATGGATGATGGATGGATGGATGGATGGATGGATGGATGGATGATGGATGGATGATGGATGGATGATGGATGGATGGATGGATGATGGATGGATGATGGATGGATTGATGGATGATGGATGGATGATGGATGGATGGATGGATGGATGATGGATGGATGGATGGATGATGGATGGATGATGGATGGATGATGGATGATGGATGGATTGATGGATGATGGATGGATGGATGATGGATGGATGGATGATGGATGGATGATGGATGGATGGATGATGGATGATGGATGGATGGATGGATGGATGGATGATGGATGATGGATGGATGATGGATGGATGGATGGATGGATGGATGATGGATGGATGATGGATGGATGATGGATGGATGATGGATGATGGATGGATGGATGGATGGATGGATGATGGATGATGGATGGATGATGGATGGATGGATGGATGGATGGATGATGGATGGATGATGGATGGATGGATGATGGATGATGGATGGATGGATGGATGGATGGATGATGGATGATGGATGGATGATGGATGGATGGATGGATGGATGGATGGATGGATGGATGATGGATGGATGATGGATGGATGGATGATGGATGGATGATGGATGGATGATGGATGATGGATGATGGATGGATGGATGATGGATGGATGATGGATGATGGATGGATGATGGATGGATGGATGGATGGATGGATGATGGATGGATGATGGATGGATGGATGATGGATGATGATGGATGGATGGATGGATGGATGGATGGATGGATGGATGGATGGATGGATGGATGATGGATGGATGATGGATGGATGGATGGATGGATGGATGGATGGATGGATGGATGGATGGATGGATGGATGGATGGATGGATGGATGGATGGATGGATGGATGGATGGATGGATGGATGGATGGATGGATGGATGGATGGATGGATGGATGGATGGATGGATGGATGGATGGATGGATGGATGGATGGATGGATGGATGGATGGATGGATGGATGGATGGATGGATGGATGGATGGATGGATGGATGATGGATGGATGGATGGATGGATGGATGGATGGATGGATGGATGGATGGATGGATGATGGATGGATGGATGGATGATGGATGGATGATGGATGGATGGATGGATGATGGATGGATGGATGGATGATGGATGGATGGATGGATGGATGATGGATGGATGGGCTGGAAACGCCGGGATCGAGCAGAGGCAGCCCCAGGGCAGGAGGGATTTTGGGATGAGGAGGCTGGGAGGGGCAGGGAATGTGGGGGATGGAGGGAACAGAGCAGGGGTGGGAGCGCAGGAATGGGAAAAAAAGGGAATTCCAGGGATGGATGGAGGCGGAGCCTGTGCCCGGCCCGGGGGGAAATGAACACAACCTCTCCCATGGGATCGGGGTTTTCACCTCCAAAAGGGCCGGGATGGATTCCCCCAGCCATGGGAGCAACTCCAGACCCAGCAGCATTCCTGGGATTTGCCCCCAGCATTCCAGGGATTTTTGTCCCCAGCATTCCAGGGATTTGTCCCCAGCATTCCAGGGATTTGTCCCCAGCATTCCAGGGATTTTTGCCCCCAGCATTCCAGGGATTTTTGTCCCCAGCATTTCAGGGATTTGTCCCCAGCATTCCAGGGATTTTTGTCCCCAGCATTCCAGGGATTTGTCCCCAGCATTCCAGGGATTTTTGCCCCCAGCATTCCCCATTAAGGCACCTCTCCAGCTCCATCAGCATTCCCAGTTTTCACCCCCAGCATTCCCCATTAACCACTCCAGACCCATCAGGGCTCGGATTCCCGTGGATTTCTCCCCATCAGCGTTCCCAATTAGCATTCCCAATTAGCATTCCCAATTAGCCGCCGGCTGTTAATGGACCAGGCCTCGGGATGACTTTCCCTGCCCCACCAAAGGATTTTTTTGGGATCCCAAAGGATTTTCCCCCCCTCCAGCAGGGAAAGGAGCCGAGCCCTCGGCGCTGAAACCCCAAAACTGCGGGGTCACCCCTGATCCCGGGGGCTCTTTCCAGCTGGGAATTCAGCTGGGATTTGGGAACTGCAGGGGGGATTTGGGATTTGGAGCTGGAATTTGGGAACTGCAGCTGGGATTTGGGAATTGCAGTGGGGATTTGGGAATTGCAGCTGGGAATTGAGAATTAGAGCTGGGATTTGGGGACTGCAGCTGGGATTTGGGAGTTAGAGCTGGGAATTTGGGAATTGCAGTGGGGATTTGGGAACTGCAGCTGGGATTTGGGAATTGCAGCTGAAATTTGGAAACTGCAGGTGGGAATTGGGAATTAGAGCTGGAATTTGGGATGTGCAGATCAAATTTGGGAATTAGAGCTGGGGTTTGGGAATTCCAGCTGGGAATTGGGAATTAGAGCTGGGAATTTGGGAATTGCAGCTGGAATTCGGGAATTTTGCAGCCGGGATTTGGGAATTTTGCAGCTGTACCTGGGGCAGCAGCAGGGCGCAGACGATGGCCAGGGTGGCCTGGAAGTTGTCCTTGAGCCAGAGCCCCACGGCGTGGATGCAGCCCCGCACGTGGATGGTGCCCAGCAGCTCCAGGCGCTGCGGAGCAGAGACAGAGGATCCCAAAGTCCCGGGAATTCTGGGGTTTTTCCGCAGCTTTCCCGGGAATCTCGGCGGGGAACAGCCTCGGGTTGGGGTTTTCGGACCCAAATCGCCGCCCCAGGGGAGGGAATTTTGTTCTTGTGCTCCCAAAGGAAGTTTTGGAGCTGAGGTGGGATTAAATCCCAACTCTGGGGCTCGGGGAGAGCTCCTGGAGCATCCAATCCCCTCAGCTGGGGCTGCCCCAGCTGGGAATTCTGCCAGGAACTCCCACATTTCTGCCGGGAATTCCCACATTTCTGCAGGGAATTCTGCCAGGAACTCCCACATTTCTGCAGGGAATTCCCACATTTCTGCCACCAGGAACTCCCACATTTCTGCAGGGAATTCCCACATTTCTGCAGGGAATTCTGCCAGGAATTCCCACATTTCTGCCACCAGGAACTCCCACATTTCTGCAGGGAATTCCCACATTTCTGCCCTGCGCTGATCCCTCGATCCTTTTCCCGCTGGGAAGGGCTGAGGCCACTCCCAGGTGAGAATCCCAGGGCACCAAAAGCGCCCCAAAATCCCAGGGAAAAGCCCCAAAACCGAGCTGGGAGCAGCTGGGGAAGGGGAATTCCCGCGGGGAGCGTTTGGTTTTTGGGGGATTTGGGGGGGAAAGGAGCAGAGAATTCCCAAAAATTCCAAGGTCACCTCCTTGTCCAGGGCGCGGTACCCGCACAGGGTGTTCACAACTGCCCCGGGAGCCTGCGGGGAAAAACAGCACGGGTGAGCCCGGGATAAAGGGGCGGGGCTAACCCGGGATAGGGGCGGGGCTAACCCGGGATAGGGGCGGGGCTAACCCGGGATAGGGGCGGGGTTAACCCGGGATAAAGGGGAGGGGTTAACCCGGGATAGGGGCGGGGCTAACCCGGGATAAAGGGGAGGGGTTAACCCGGGATAAAGGGGCGGGGTTAACCCGGGATAAAGGGGCGGGGCTAACCCGGGATAGGGGCGGGGTTAACCCGGGATAAAGGGGCGGGGCTAACCCGGGATAGGGGCGGGGTTAACCCGGGATAAAGGGGCGGGGCTAACCCGGGATAGGGGCGGGGCTAACCCGGGATAGGGGCGGGGCTAACCCGGGATAAAGGGGTGGGGCTAACCCGGGATAAAGGGGTGGGGTTGACCCGGGATAAAGGGGAGGGGCTAACCCGGGATAAAGGGGCGGGGCTAACCCGGGATAGGGGCGGGGCTAACCCGGGATAAAGAGGAGGGGTTAACCTGAGATAAATGGGCGGGGTTAACCCAGGATAAAGGGGCAGGGTTAACCCGGGATAAAGGGAGGGGTTAACCCGGGATAAAGGGGCGGGGTTTATCCTGGGAAAGGGCACCAGTTTATCCCGGGAAAACAGCAGAAATCCAAAGGAAATTGGGAATTCTGGAGGGGCCCTTGGAACCTGGGGTGTCCCTGGGGCTGAGGCGCCTTCAGGGCAAATCCCAACCCAAACCATTCCAGGACTCTGGAGCCGGGCTGGGAGAGCTGGGAATGCTCCCCTGGAGCAGGGAAATGCCAGGGAGAGCTTCCAGAACATTCCAGGACATGAAGGGGCTCCGGGAGAGCTGGGGAGGGGTTTGGGACAAGGGATGGAGGCACAGGACACCGGGAATGGCTCCAAAGGGGGAAACTGAAATGGGATTTGGGGATTTGGGGATTTGGGGATGGAATTCCCAGAGGAGCTGGGGCTGCCCCTGGACCCCTGGGACAGTGGGAATTGTCCCCATGGGATGGGATTCAAGGCCAGGAAATTCCCAAGGGATTTGGCTCTCCTGGTTCTTTTCCTGGAATTCTGGGCCTGGTTCCTTAAGGAACGAGGCCAAATCCATCCCAAGGTTTTGGTGCTTCCCAGGTTCCGGAGCCTTTGGGGAGGACTCAGCTCCCAAAAACCCCTCAGAGCCACAGGCAGGGCCGTTCCCTCCTGGAAAAACCACGGGAATTCCAGGGATTCATGGGAATTCCATGGATTTTCCTCCTGGAGCCCCCTCCAGACCCAACCCGGGGAATCCTGGAGTGGTTTGGGTGGGAAGGGGCCCTAAATCCCACCCCACACCAGGGACAAAACCCCAAAATCCCAAACTCCCAGGCTGCTCCAAGGCCTCCTCCAGCATTCCCAGCAAAAGCTCCCAGATTCTCCCCCTCTGGATCAGGAGGAATTTTCCCTCTCCCTTCCCCCTGCTCAGGTTTTATTTTTTACCAAATTGTCCAAAATAAAACCCAAAAAAAGCTCCCTGCAGGAACCCCTGATTCCATCTCCAGGAGCCTCGGGATCCTTAATCAAGGCCTTGATTAGAGAGGCGCTCAAATCTGCATCTCATTTGCATATCAGCCTAATTGAACCTCTTTTCCCATTAGGAGCAGTGAGGGATTGATGGGGAATTCTCCTCGCTGCCTTTCCGGGACTAATCCCAAACTTTCCTGGGCTCTTTGGGGTTTTTCAGGATCCTGGAGCAGCGCTGGATTCAACCAATTTTAACCCAAATTTCGGGGTTGGGTGAAACAAATTTTTAGCAAAATTTTGGAGGGGATTTCCTGGGAGTTTTGGGAGGTTTTTTTTCCTGGAATTCTGGGATATTTTCCCTGGAATTTTGGGATTTTTTCCCCTGGAATTCTGGGTTTTCTCCCTGCTCACTCCTCTGACACAGCAGGAGTGGGACAGAGGGGATTTCTCTGGAATTTTGGGATTTCCCCCAGGAATTTTGAGATTTTTTTCCTCTGGAATTTTGGGATTTTTTTTTCCCTGGAAATTTGGGATTTCACCCAGGAATTTGGGGATTTTTTTCTCCTGGAATTCTGGGATATTTCCCCAGGGATTCTGGGATATTTTCCCCAGAATTTTGGGATATTTCCCCAGTGATTCTGGGATGTTTTCCCTGGATTTCTGGGATGTTTTCCCTGGAATTTTGGGATTTTTTTTCCCTGGAATTTGGGAGGTTTATTTTCCCTGGGATTTTGGGATATTTTCCCTGGAACTTTGGGACATTTCCCCAGGAATTCTGGGATGTTTTCCCTGGATTTCTGGGATATTTCCCCAGGGATTTTGGGATGATTTCCCTGGAATTTCGGGATGTTTTCCCTGGAATTTCGGGATGTTTTCCCTGGAATTTTGGGAGGTTTATTTTCCCTGGATTTCTGGGATATTTCCCCAGGGATTTTGGGATGTTTTCCCTGGATTTCTGGGATGTTTCCCCAGGGATTCTGGGATATTTTCCCCAGGGATTCTGGGATGTTTTCCCCTCTCACCCCTCGGACGCAGCAGGAGTGGGGCACCCCGCAGGCCAGGGCGCCGCTGCCGTTGCACCGGTGGTACTGGTTCACCTCCCAATCCCGGAACTCATCCCCTCCACAGCAGGAAAACTGCAGGGAAAACACAGGGAAAACATGGGGAAAACACAGGAAAAACACGGGAAAACCACGGGAAAAACACGGGGAAAACACGGGGAAAACACAGGGAAAACACAGGGAGACAAAGAGCTGGGAAACCCCAAAATTCCAGGGGAAACGGGGAGGGATTCCCGCTCCAAAGGGATTTGGGGTTGGGATTTTGGGAGGAATTCCCTCCCTGGGAAGGGCGGGGATGGAATTCCCAGGGAATTTTCCAGCCCTAGAAACTCCTTAAAAATCCTGGAAAAGGAGTTTGGGATCAGCCCTGGGAGAACAGGGAATGGATTCCCGTGGGCACAGGGATAATGGGAGATCATTAACTGGGATCATAATTAATTTGGATCATGGGAGATCATTAATTGGGATCATAATTAATTGGGATCATGGGAATTCCCCCCCGGGATGGAATTCCCAGGGAATTTTGGATCCTTTGGAAGTGTCCAAGACCAGGCTGGAAAAACCTGGGACAGGGGAAGGGCTCCTTACCCATGGAAAAAGAGGAATTTCAGGATCCCATCCAACCCAAACCATCCCAGAATTCCAATCCCATTCCCTGCATCTCCACTTCCCAATTTTTCCCCTGCTCCCAGGGAAGTTCAAGGGTAAAGAAAAAGGGGAATTTTTCCCATTTATCCCCATTTCAGAGGGATTTGGGTGTGGCTCAGCTCCATCCCCATTTCCACGCTTTAATTCCAGCTGACAAATCCCTTTTTTCCCAAGGCAGGGATGGACCTGGGGGCTCTCAGCCATCCCCAAAATCCCCCCCAGCTCCTCAGGGATTTCTCTTCCTGTCAGGATAAATTGGGATCAAATCCTGCAGCTACAAAGGGAAAAAATTCAAATTAAAAAAAAAAACCAAAAAATCTCTTTTTGTCCTGCAGCAAAGATAAAAACCAAATTCCAATCAAAGTCACTGCGAGCCCTCCACGGAATAAAAATGAGCCTGGTGTGGATTTTTCCCATTTTTTAAGCACCAAACTCATCCAGGAGCAGATTTTGGGAGAGGTTTTTCCCTCTGCTCCCATTTTCCAAGGGAAAGCAGGAAAAATTCCTGGGATCCTCCAGGCACAGATTTCAGGATTTCCCTGGATTCTCAGAATTTCCTCCTCAAATTTTGGGTTTTTCATTTTGCACCAATCCCAGGGTGATTCCCAAAAATCTCCCTGGGTTGAGCTCGGGGAGGGAAAACCCAAAAAAATCCCAAAGCGGGGGAAGGTGCCCAAGGAAAACACCCCAGGGATGGGAATAAAAGTGGAAAATCCAGGGGAAAAATCCTGAAAATCCAGGGGGAAAAAAATCCTGAAAATCCAGGGGAATAATCCTGAAAATCCAGAGGGAAATCCTGAAAATCCAGGGAAAAAATTCTTAAAATCCAGGGGGAAGCCCTGAAAATCCAGGGGAAAAAATCCTGAAAATCCAGGGGAAAATCCAGGGGAAAATCCAGGGGAAAATCCAGGGGAAAACCCTGAAAATCCAGGGGGAAAATCCAGGGGAAAATCCAGGGGAAAACCCTGAAAATCCAGGGGGAAAATCCAGGGGAAAATCCAGGGGAAAACCCTGAAAATCCAGGGGGAAAATCCTGAAAATGCAGGGGAAAACCCTGAAAATCCAGGGGAAAAACATCCTGAAAATCCAGGGGAAAAATCCTGAAAATCCAGGGGAAAAACATCCTGAAAATCCAGGAAAAAATCCTGAAAATCCAGGAAAAAATCCTGAAAATCCAGGGGGAAAATCCTGAAAATGCAGGGGCAAAATCCTGAAAATGCAGGGGAATTGGGGAATGGGATTAAGAATTCCTTGGGAAATTTCCCCTTTCCCCATCCAAACCTTTTCCTGCACAAAATCCAGGATATTTTTGAAGTCCAGGTCGTCGTAGTAGTGCCGGATTCCCTCCTGGATGTTGGAGTGGAAAACCTCGTTCATCTGGGGTGGAAAAAACCAAAAATTGGGGGAATTCATGGAAAACAGCACAAAATCCCCGTTTTTCACAGCACAGCAGGGATTTACCCCGTCCCAGGGGGATTTTTGGGGTAAAATCCACAATTTTGGAGCTGCCTGGATCCATTCCTGCCGCGCCCAACCCAGGGAATTTTTACCCGCCCGATTTTCCCCGTTCCTCATTTGCATATCAACAAAGCTGATTTGCATATCGAAATTAATTCCCGGTGGTGGCTGATTTCAGCTGAAATCCAATTAATTCTGGGATTTTTGGGGGCTGATGAAGATCCCTTGTTCCAGAGGGGGATTTGTGCTCCCCACAATTCCCTCTTTACTTGGGGTTTAATTCGCTTTTGAGATCATCCCAATGAATTAAAATTTATTTGAAATTCATTCAACTTCAGAACTTCTGCCACATCCCAGAGCCCCATCCCGAGGGATTGCAATTCCAGTTCTGGGAATGGCAGTTCCATGGTTGGGAATGACAACTCAATTTTCAGGAATGACAATTCCATTTTTTGGGAACAACAATGGAGTTTTCGGGAATAACCATTCCATTTTTGGGAATAGCCATTCAATTTTTGGGGATAACCATTCTGTTTTTTGGGGAATGACAATGGAATTTTTGGGAATAATGATTCAATTTTTGGGAAGGACAATGGAATTTTTGGGAATAACCATTCCATTTTTGGGAATAGCCATTCTGGTTTTTGGGAATGACAATGGAATTTTTGGGAATGACAATGGAATTTTTGGGAATGACCATTCCATTTTTGGGGATAACCATCCCATGTTTGGCAATGACCATCCCGTTTTCAGGAATGACAATTCCATGGTCAAGAATAAAAAAAAAAAAATTCCATTTTTTGGCAGTGACTGATCTGTGTTTTGGAGAATAACAATGGAATCTTTTGGGGAACGACCGCCCCATTTTTGGGGATTTCACCGTTCCATTTCTGGGAACGACCGTTCCGTTTTTCGGGAGTGACAATGGAATTTTTGGGGATAACCATTCGATTTTTGGGGGATAACCATTCAATTTTTGGGAATGACCATTCCATTTTTGGGGGATAACCATTCAATTTTTTGGCTATAACCATCCCATTTTTGGGAATGACAATGGAATTTTTGGGGATGACCATTCGATTTTGGGGGATAACCATCCCATTTTTGGGAATGACCATCCGATTTTTGGGAATGACCATGGAATTTTTGGGAATGACCATCCGATTTTCGGGAGTGCCCATCCCATTTTTGGGAGTGACAATGGAATTTTTGGGAATGACCATTCGATTTTTGGGGATGAATGACCATCCGATTTTTGGGAGTGCCCATCCCACTTTCAGGGATGGGATTCCCGGGAATGCCGGGCGTGTCCCTGTCCCACCTTGCTCTCGAAGACGATCTCCACCAGGATGAGCAGCAGCTCCGTCAGGAAGATCAGCAGCAGCACCCAGAAGAACTGCGAGGGGAGAGGGCGGACGGTCCCGACCCCGACCCCCAGAAATGAGGAATTCGCCACCGGAATCCCGGCTTTTACTGGAATTCTGGCAGGAATTCCCACCTCGGTGTCCCCATGTGTCACTGTCCGTCCCAGAGAGGGGATCGGGAAGGGATTGGGAGGGGAGATTGGGAAGGATCAGGAAGGAGATTGGGAAGGGAACGGGAAGGAGATTGGGAAGGATCAGGAAGGGATTGGGAGGGGATACTGGGAAGGATCAGGAAAAATTGGGAAAGAATGAGGAAGGAGATTGGGAAGGGTCGGGAAGGGTCAGGAAGGGACTGGGAAGGATCAGGAAGGGTTGGGAAGGATCAGGAGGGGATTGGGAAGGGAGATTGGGAAGGATCAGGAAAAATTGGGAAAGAATGAGGAAGGACCAGGAAGGGACTGGGAAGGGATCAGGAAGGGATCAGGAAGGAGATTGGGAAGGGAGATTGGGAAGGATCAGGAAGGGTTGGGAAGGAATCAGGAAAGACCAGGAAGGGACGGGGAAGGGAACAGGAAAGATCGGGAAGGATCAGGAAGGGTCAGAAGGGAGATTGGGAAGGATCAGGAAGGGATCAGGAAGGAGATTGGGAAGGGTTGGGAAGGAGATTGGGAAGGATCAGGAAGGGTCGGGAAGGGATTGGAAAGGGTCAGGAAGGAGATTGGGAAGGGTCGGGAAGGAGATTGGGAAGGATTGGGAAGGGTCAGGAAGGGATCGGGAAGGGTCGGGAAGGAGATTGGGAAGGGTCGGGAAGGAGATTGGGAAGGAGCTCAAGGGTCTCCCCCGGCCCAAAGCCCCAAACAAATCCCGGATTTCTTGGAGAAACTTCCCAAGGAAATCTTTCTCCGGCCCTGGATGCTGAGTCAGGAAGAGCCGCTCAATTCCGATTCAATTAACGCGGCCGCTAACGAGCTCATCAATCCCAATTCCCGCAGCAGCCTCGGGAATTGATGAATCCCTCTGGGAGCTGCTCCTTCCCTCCCTTAACGATCTCCGAGGTTTTGTTCCTCCTTCATTATTCCCAAATCCGGACATTCCAGCCCCAGCACGCGGAATTTGGGTGGTTTGACTCCAGTCCCTCCGGAGCCCGAATCCCTGGGGTTGGGGTTGGGGTTTCCAGGCCATCGATCCCAGGGATTTGGGGACCGGAGCGTTCCCGGTGGATGCTGCGGAGGCGGGAGATGGATGGAGCTGTCAGCTCCACCCCAGCAGGCACAAATCAGCCGAATTCCGGCGGGAATTGCACTGAGCAGGCACAAATCAGCCAAATTCCAGTGGGAATTGCACTGAGCAGGCACAAATCAGCCGGAATTCCAGCGGGAATTGCACTGAGCAGGCACAAATCAGCCGAATTCCAGTGGGAATTGCACGGCCCCAGGGAGAAACCAGGAGAGAAACCAGCCCGGCTCCTTCTGAACACCAATCCCAGAGCCTTGGAACCCAAACCCAGGTTTAAAACCAATCCCAGATCCTTTAAACACCAATCCAGGTTTAAACACCAATCCAGGTTTAAACACCAGCCCAGATCCTTTAAAACACAAATCCCGATCCTTTTAAACATGGACCTGGATCCTTTTAAATCCAAATCCCGATCCTTTTAAGGACAAATCCTGAGTCCTTTTGAAGACAATCCCGGATCCTTTAAAACACAAATTTGGATCCTTTTAAACACAATTTCCCCGTTTTTCCATAAAAAGCCCCAAAGCAGCTGCAGCTGCCAGGCCCAGCTCAGCTCCAAGAGCTCCTCCAGGGCCTCTCTCCCTGATTGCTTTTGTTCTGGGAATTCTCCTGGAAGGGACAATGCCCCACCCCACAAGGGCTCTGATTGCTCCTTCCTGTCCTCAGCAATTCCCGCCTTTCCACCGCCCCATTCCCACAAAGCTGCTCCTGGGAATTCAGTTCTCCCGGGAATTTGCTGTTCCTGGGAATTTGCTGTTCCTTGGGAATTCTCCTTTCCTGGGAATTTGCATCCCGGGATGGACCTTGGGAGGGAAAACACCCTGGAATCTCCTCCTTGGGATCCCCAAGCCATGGAGGTGACCCCAAATCCATGGAATTCCCTCCATGGAATTCCCAAACCATGGAGGTGACCCCAGATCCATGGAATTCCCAAACTGGGGAAATTACCCTGGATCCATGGAATATACCATGGAGACGACCCTGGAACCCATGGAATTCCTTGGAGGTGACCCAGAATCCATGGAATTCCACGGAGATGACCCAGAATCCATGGAATTCCAAACCATGGAGATGACCCAGAATCCATGGATATGACCCCGGAACCCATGGAATTCCCAAACCACGGAGACAACCCCAGAATCCCATGGAGGTGGCCCTGGATGGACAGAGGTGGCCCCGGATGTGTGGAATTCCCAAACCATGGAGGTGACCCCGGAATCCCATGGAGGCAGCCCTGGAATCCCATGGAATGCCATGGAGGCAGCCCCAGATGTGTGGAATTCCCAAACCACAGAGGTGACCCCGGATGCGTGGAATTCCCAAACCATGGAGGTGACCCCGGAATCCCATTGAATCCCATGGAGGTGGCCCCAGCTGCATGGAATTCCCAAACCACAGAGGTGGCCCTGGATGGACAGAGGTGGCCCCGGATGTGTGGAATTCCCAAACCATGGAGGAGACCCCGGCTGTGTGGAATTCCCAAACCATGGAGGTGGCCCCGGAATCCCATGGAGGTGACCCTGGAATCCCATGGAATCCCATGGAGGAGGCCCCGGATGTGTGGAATTCCCAAACCGCAGAGGTGACCCCGGAATCCCATGGAGGTGACCCTGGAATCCCATTGAATCCCATGGAGGCAGCCCTGGAATCCCATTGAATCCCATGGAGGCAGCCCCGGATGCGTGGAATTCCCAAACCACAGAGGTGGCCCTGGATGGACAGAGGTGGCCCCGGATGTGTGGAATTCCCAAACCATGGAGGTGACCCCGGGATGTGTGGAATTCCCAAACCATGGAGGCGACCCCGGAATGCCCCGGAACCCCCGGCCCCGCGGCAGGGGCGGCTCACCGCGCGGAGCAGGGCGCGGTTGTCGCGCAGGCTGCCCACGGTGCCCACCAGGGACACCAGGAGGACGCAGGAGCCCAGCAGCAGCAGCAGCACGGCCGGCGCCAGGAAAATCCCCTCGAGGGTGCGGAGCCGCTGCCGCTCCGCCTCGGCGTAGGCGCCCAGCGCCAGCAGCGCCAGCCCCAGCAGCTGCAACGACACAGGGCCGGGAGTTACTCCGGGCTTCGGGGCATTTATGGGGTTTTCATGGGGGTTTTGGGGTTTTCAGGGTTTTCCTGGGGTTTTTGGGGATTTCAGGGTTTTCGGGTTTTTCAGATCCGTGGAATTCCCTCCCCGCGATCCCCAAACCATGGAGGTGACCCTCAACCCATGGAATTCCTCAAGACCTCCCTCACCTGGGTTTGGACTCTGAACCCATGGAATTCCCTCCTCAGCATCCCCAAACCAAGGAGATGACTCCAGAGCCATGGAATTCCTCAAAACTCCTTACAGCTGGTTTGGACTCTGAACCCATGGAATTCCCTCCTTGGGATCCCCAAACCATGGAGGTGACCCTCAACCCATGGAATTCCTCAAGACCTCCCTCACCTGGGTTTGGACTCTGAACCCATGGAATTCCCTCCCCAGAATCCCCAAACCAAGGAGAGGACTCCAGATCCATGGAATTCCTCAAAACTCCCCAGACCTGTTTTGGACTCTGGATCCATGGAATTCCCTCCTTGGGATCCCCAAACCATGGAGGCGACCCTGGATCCATGGAATTCCCTCCCTGGGATCCCCAAACTGTGGAGATTGCTCCAGATCCATGGAATTCCCTCCTCAGCATCCCCAGCCATGGAGGTGACTCCAGATCCATGGAATTCTCCCCAAGGGATCCCCAAACCAAGGCCATGACCCCAGATCCATGGAATTCCCTCATTTAAACCTCCCGGACCTGGTTTGGACACCAAACCCATGGAATTCCCTCCCTGGGATCCCCAAACCATGGAGGTGACTCCAAATCCATGGAATTCAGGATTTTTGGGGGTTTTTCAGGATTATCGGGGTCGGTTGAAACATCCGCTCTCCCTTTTGCGGGAAAAGAATTGCCCAGGAATTAATTGGGCTGCGATTATGCAAATGAGGCCGGAATTAGGTCAGGCTGAAAGGCTCCGGATTCCCTGGAGCAGAATTCCTGTCTGGGAGCATCCCTGGGATGGAGGTGGGAGGGGTTGAACCACCCAAAGTGGGGCTTTTTTGGGGTTGTTTTCCCGGTTTTTGGACCAATCTGAGCCTCTTGCTGGTGGGTTCTCCATGGAGCTCTCCCAAAATTCCCCCCAAAAATCCGGGAATTGTCCCAGGGTTCATCCACGATTCCCAGAGTGGGACTGGGAGGAAAACCCCACAATTCCTTCAACACCCCAAAAACCTCTGGGAAACCCCAAACTGGACGGGATCGGCTCCTTGGGAACCCCAATGTTGGGATTTGCCCCGGATTTGTTTGGAATATGGCACAAACCCCACCCAAAACTCCACCCTGAGCCAGAAACGTGGCAGAAATCCGGAATTTTGGGGGTTCCTGGGAATGTCACAGAGCTCTGACCTCTTGGAGCTTTCCCACCTGAGAGAGCCCCGAAAATCCGGGAGATAATCCCAAAAAAACCCCCCAAATTTTGGTGATTTTTGGCCTTGGCCGAGCTCATTCACGGGTCAAAACCCAATAAAAACCGAAATTAAAACCATTTCCGGGCACCTGCAGAGGAATTTCTGCGCTCGCACCTGAACAATGAGCCCCACCCCGGGGTTATTTAACCCTGGGGAGGAAATATTTGGAAATAAAGTCGGAGTTACCCAAAATAAACCCCAAAAAGAGACCCCAAAAGGGGCGGAATTCCCGGTTTTCCCCTCCCCTCTCCCGCAGGTGTTTGCAGCTCCCAGGTAGGGGAAACCCCGCCCCGAGCAGAGTCCAGGGTTTCCAAACCGCCTAAAATTCAAATTTTTGGGGATTTTTCCGACAAAAACGCGGCTGAAACCCCCTCGATGTCTGCAGGGGGCACCTGGGGAGTGGAAAAAATTGAATTTTCTCGGCTTTTTCTGCTCCAAATGGGACTCGCGGCCACAAAGGAATCATGGGGGAGGATGAGGTTGGAGAAAACCCCAAAACCCGCGGGTTCACCCCAAAATCGCCGCGTTTGGAGCCCAAAATTGCCCTAAATTGCCCGGTTTGGAGCGGCCCCGGGGGTTTGGGTTTTCCTGAAGGATTTGGGGTCCAGGGAGGGGAAATTGGGAGGCGGAAAAGCCAAAGGGGCTGGAAAAGCCAAAGGGGCTGGAAAAGCCAAAGGGGCTGGAAAAGCCAAATCCGGTTGGGAAAAACGCGGAAAAACGCTGGGAAACACGGGGGAAAATGGGGGAAAAAATGGGGAAAATGGGGAAAAAAATGGGGAAAAAGGGAAAGAACGTACCGAGAAGAGCGTGGCGTAGGCGGAGAGCGCGAATTTGATGCCGTAGTAATAAAAATGGGACTCGCGGCAGGTCCGGCCCATGCCCGGCTCCTTCCCGGCCGCGATTCCTGCGGGCAATGGGAACCCCCGGCTCCTTCCCGGCTCCTTCCCGGCTCCTTCCCGGCTCTTCCCGGCTCCTTCCCGGCCCTTCCCGCTGCGATTGCTGCGGGCAGTTTGAACCCGGGGCCGGTTTCCGCCCGCAGGGGCCGAGCGCGGCCGCGTTAACCCTTCCAGGAGCGGCTGGGGAGGGATTTTCCAGCGGGGACAATCCCGGGAGCAGCCGAGGAGCGACCGCGCTCCCGAGCCCTCCTGGAGCCACGCAGGGACCTGGAATCGCTTCGGGCTCCCCGCGGATTTTCAGCTTTTCATTCTCTGAGATTCTTTTTTTATTTATTTTTTCCTTTTTTTTTGAGTCCCTGGGATTTTGAGGTTTTGGTTCCCCTCAGATTTTGATCCTTTCCAGCCCCTTGGATTTTGATTTTTTTTTTTATTATTTATTTACCTCTGAATTTTAATTTTTTTGTTCCCACTCCAATTTTGACCTTTTAAATCTCCTCAGGTTTTGATCCTTTTCAGCCCCTTGGATTTTGATTTTTTTTTTTAATTTGCCTCGAATTTTAATTTTTTTTTTTTTTAATTTGCCTTGAATTTTGGATTTTTAGATCCCACTCAAATTTTGGGGTTTGGTTGTTTTTTTTTTTTTTTTGGATCCATCTCAAATTTCTTTTATTATTTTCTCACATTCACTTTGAACAACCCGGAGTGAATTTTCTCACATTCACTTCCCAAAATCTGGAAAATTCTTTCCCAAAGAGCCGGGCCTGTGGGACTGTGGGGTTTGATGGGAATTTGGGAGACCCCAATAATGGGGGACCCCAATAAAGGGGAGACCCCAACCAAAGGGAGCCCCTGATCAAAGGGATCCATTCCCAGTTCCAGGGGTTTGGGAGGAGGCAGAGCCTGGAGCTGCTCCTGGTGTTCCTCAATCCCAGATTTTGGGATCCAGCCCTCGGCTGCAGGAGCCAGAACCTCCCAGGATGGGAAATTCCCAAGAGGACCAGGATGGATTTTCCTCTGGGATTTGGGGGTTTGGGATCCCCTTACTCGGGAAGGAGCCACATCCTTGTCCAGGATGTAATTCCCACCTGGGAATTCCAGGTTTTTCCAGGAATTTTTTGGGCTCTCTCCCCTTCTTCACAAACCCCAGCAAATCCCAAAGCTCCTCTGGGAACACCCTGAGCACATCCTGGCTCCCATTCCTGGATCCCATTCCTGCATTCCCAGCTCCCATTCCCACATTCTCAGTTCCCATTCCCAGCTCCCATTCCCACATTCCCATTCCTGCATTCCCAGCTCTCCCATTCCCAGGTTTTTAGGGAATGTTGCCATCGAGCACGCCCGGCCCGGCCCCCTCTGGATCCCCCCGAGTATTTCTTTATTCCCTCCTGGAATAAACCCCGGGATCGCTCTGGGAGCGAAGAATTCCAGCGGCGCCTCCCCGGGCGCAGCTCCCGGCCCGAATTCCTGCGGGATTTACCTGGGAGAGGCTCCTCTTCCCAAAAATCCGGGATTTGGGATCGTCCCCGGCCACACCGCAGCGGCTTCCCCGGGAGGAGCAGAATTCCCGAGGGGAAAGCGGGGGGCGCTCCCGGCACCATTCCCGGCACCGTTCCTGGCACCGTTCCCGGCTGGAGCAGCAGGGCCGGGATGGATCTGGCAGCAGCGGAGCTCAAATCCCTGGATACGAACCCGGGCTGCGGGAAGGGTTCTCGGATTAATTAAATTAATTAGGGAGAAGAGGGAATGTCATGGAGAGGGAATTGCAGGGACAGGGGTTTTCAGGGAGAGGGAATTGCAGGGAGAGGGAATTGCAGGGAGAGGGATTTTCCAGCCCTTTTTTGGGGGGGCTGAGAAGGTTCGGGATAAATAAAGATAAAACCAATCAATAATCGATAAAATCATCGATAAACCCCCAGAGCTTTGCCGTTACCGGCATCTTCCGATTCCCAATGATTTTGGAGTCAGGCCCCAAAAGTGCCCGGGGAGATTTCAGGGATGGGGGGAGGGAAATTTGGGATGGGGGCGCCTGGAAAGGCGGAGGAGCCGCTGCCGGCGGAGCTGGGAACGGGGGGGACACGGGGAGGGGACCGAGGGGACCGGGCAGGGCTGTCCCCGCCCCGCTCTGGCACCGCCCGCGCCGCCCATAAAAGCCCCGCTCGAGCCTCGCCCGCCGCAGTCGGGTCCGCGGCACCGGCTGCGCCCCGAGCCCGCGGCTGCGCCGGGCGGAACCGCCGGGGGCCGGGACCGAGCCGGGATCCGCAGCCCGAGCCGGGGAATCCGCATCCGGAACCGCCGGGATCCGCAGCCTGAACCGGGGAATCCGCAGCCCCAACCGAGCGGGGATCTGCATCCCGAACGGGGGAATCGGCATCCGGAACCGGCTGCATCCCGAACCGGGGAATCTGCATCCCGAACCGAGCAGGAATCTGCATCCCGAACCGGGGAATCTGCATCCCGAACCGGGGAATCTGCATCCCGAGCCGAGCGGGAATCTGCATCCCGAGCCGAGCGGGATTTCGCATCCCGAACCGGGGAATCTGCATCCCGAACTGGGGAATCTGCATCCCGAACCGGGGAATCTGCAGCCCAAACCGAGCGGGATTTCGCATCAGGAACCGACTGCATCCCGAACCCGGGGATCGGCATCCCGAACCGGCTGCAGCAGGTACCGAGAGGAGCCGCATCCCGAACCGGCTGCTTCCCGAACCGACTGAAGCCCGAGCCGGGCGGGACCCGCACCCCGAGCCCGCCGAGCCATGGCCGCGCTCCCGGCTCCAGCTGCCCCCGGACACCGCAGGGACCGGAACCCCAAACCCGCTGCACCCTGACCCGGACGGGTCCTGCACCCCAAAACTGGCTGAGCCCTGATCCTACTGCACCCTAAACCAGCAGGGATCTGCACCCCAATTTTGCTGAGCAGGAGCATCCCTGCATCCTAAATTGGCTGAGCCAGGAGGTTCCTGCACCTCAAGCTGGCTGATCCCGGTTCGTGCACCCTGAACTGGCTGATCCAGGAAGGATCTGCACCCCAAATTGGCTGTGCCCTGCACCCTAAACCAGGAGGTCCCTGCACCCCAAATTGGCTGATCCAGAGGTCCCTGCACCCCAATTTTGCTGAGCAGGAGGTCCCTGCACTCCAATTTTGCTCAACAGGTCCTGCAGCCCAGTTTTGCTGATCCAGAGGTTCCTCACCCCAATTTGGCTGATCCAGAGGTTCCTCACCCCAATTTTGCTGATCCAGAGGTCCCTCACCCCAGTTTTGCTGATCCAGAGGTCCCTGCACCCCAAACTGGCTGATCCAGAGGTCCCTCACCCCAATTTTGCTGATCCAGAGCTCCCTCACCCCAGTTTTGCTGATCCAGAGGTCCCTCACCCCGGTCTGCCGTGGCCATGGATGAGTCCCCGCCGCTGGTGGCCGAGCTGGAGCCCCTCAACGCCTCCCTGAACGGGTCCTGGACCAACCCGTTCGTGCAGCCGCCCTGGCAGGTGGCCCTGTGGGCCGCGGCCTACGCGCTCATCGTGGTGGTGGCCGTGGTGGGCAACGCCGTGGTCATGTGGATCATCCTGGCGCACAAGCGCATGCGCACCGTCACCAACTACTTCCTGGTGAACCTGGCCTTCGCCGAGGCCTCCATGGCCGCGCTCAACACCGTGGTCAACTTCAGCTACGCCGTGCACAACGAGTGGTACTTCGGGCCCGCCTACTGCCGCTTCCACAACTTCTTCCCCATCGCCGCCGTCTTCGCCAGCATCTACTCCATGACGGCCATCGCGCTGGACAGGTCAGTGGTGGGGCCATGAAACCATGCATGGAGCTGGGGACAGGTCAGTGGTGGGGCCATGAAACCATGGATGGAGCTGGGGACAGGTCAGTGGTGGGGTCATTGATCCATGCATGGAGCTGGGGACAGGTCAGTGGTGGGGTCATTGATCCATGGATGGAGCTGGGGACAGGTCAGTGGTGGGTCACTGGAGTTGAGGACAGGTCAGTGGTGGGGCCATCCATCCATGGCTGGAGCTGGGGACAGGTCAGTGACCAGGGTTGGCTTTTCCCTGCCCAGTTCCTGCCAGATCCCACTGGGGCCATGATCCCAAGCTCAGCTGGATCCCAGATCCTGGATCCCACTGGGGCAGTGATCCCACTGTGATCCCAAGCTCAGCTGGATCCTGGATCCCACTGGAGCTGTTATCCCAGATGTCACTGGATCCACGATCCCAAACCCCACTGGATCCACGATCCCAGACCCCACTGGATCCACGATCCCAGACCCCACTGGATCCACGGTCCCAGATCCCCCTGGATCCATGATCCCAAATCCCCCTGGATCCACGATCCCAGACCCCACTGGATCCATGATCCCAGATCCCCCTGGATCCATGATCCCAGACCCCACTGGATCCATGATCCCAGATCCCCCTGGATCCATGATCCCAGACCCCACTGGATCCATGGTCCCAGACCCCACAGGATCCATGGTCCCAGACCCCACTGGATCCATGATCCCAGACCCCACAGGATCCATGATCCCAAGCTCAGCCGGATCCCAGTGGGACTGGGGGATCCCAAATCCCCAGAATCCCCCAGAAGTCCCTTCCCTCTCCCGGGAATTTGGGATCCATTTCCCGCTGGAGCCCCAGGACAAATCCCAGCTCCAGAGCTGCCCCGTGGCTCCCTCTGAGCCTTTTGGATTTTTCCAAGGCCCCGCTCCTGGAGCCAGCCAGGCTCTGCCGCTCTCCTGCTCCCAGGGAATAAAGGGAATTCTGGCAGGGATCCGGGATGGGGGGAGGACGCCTTTCCTGCCCTTTTCCAGTAGCTCTGGAGCCGCTGGCTCCGGGATTCCCGGTGGGAAGCAGGGCCGGGGCTGGGTGAGGCTCCCCGGGCGTTAAAAACAGCCCCAGGTTCGGTTTTGTCACCAAATCCTCTCCCTAAAATCCACGGGAATTGAGGCAATCATCAATAAAAACCGGGATATTTCCAGTTCCCCTCCCATGGAGCAGTTCCAGGAGGATCCTTGGGATCAGCTGGAAAAGCCCCTTTGGGGCTGGGATGAATTCCAGGGATTATTTTTTGGGCTGAATAATTTAATTTACAGCCTTTGATCCACCCTGAAAACATCCAGGGAAGCTGCAGTAAAACAGGGAGGTCTGGGAGGTTGGGGCTGGAATTTTTTGAGGATTAGCATTCCCAAAAAATCTTTCTGCACCTGCAAACCCTGAGCAGATGCTTGGTTTTTCCCAAAAATCCAGGCTCCCATCTGGAAGCTGCAGCTCCAACTGCATCCCAAATTCCAGCCTGGAATGGGGAAGGGAACAAACCCCAAACCCCATCCTCAGCCCCTCCAAGCACTGGGAAAATTCTTCTTTTTCCTGTGACTGGGAGCTGACAATGGAGCTGAAAGGCAGGAAAAGCAGGAATGTGTTCCAGGAGCCTGGGAAGGAGGATTCCCAGAGCTGGGAATGGGACTGGAGAGAGCTGGGAATGGGAATGGGGAGAGCTGGGAATGGGAATGGGGAGAGCTGGGAATGGGGAGAGCTGGGAATGGGATTGGGGAGAGCTGGAACTGGGACTGGAGAGAGCTGGGAATGGGACTGGGAATGGGCAGAGCAGGGTTGGGGTTCCAGAGCAGGGCTGGGGTTCCAGAGCAGGGTTGGGGTTCCAGTCACAGCCAGGATGGGGCTGGAATTCCCAATTCCCACCAAAAATCAGGGCAGCAGCACGGAACGAGCCTCGCGTTCCCAAAGCCCTGGGATGGGTGGGATTGGGAATGACCTCGAGTCCCACCCAATCCCTGTCCCAGACCCCTCCAGCCCAGCCCTGGGCGCTTCCCAGGATCCAGAGGAGCCCAGGGCTCCCCGGGAATCCCCAGGGGGATTTTTTGTGGGATCCATCATGGACCCATGCGGGATTTTTGCTGGAAGTTTCTCCATCCCCTCCTTCCCCTGGAGCTGCTCCAGCCCTGGGCACGAAAGCAAAACAGCCGGAAGTTGTTCCGAACACTCGGGACAATGGCAGGAAATTCGGGATCGGGGCTGGCACTGTGGGAAGTGCCTCTGGAAAATCCCAAAGAATTCAGGGCCTGGCAGCTCCCTCGGCTCCCAGATTCCCGCCCCATCCTTTCTTTTCCCAAAGGGAACACCGGGATTTCCCAGCTCCCATCCCCGCTGTTCCCAAAGCCGGAATTCCAGGATTTTCCAGCTGTATTCCTGCTGTTCCCAAAGGGAACACTGGGATTTTCCAGCTCCCGTTCCTGCTGTTCCCAAAGTTGGAGAAAACCAGGATTTTCTGGCCTTAATTCCCACTGGTCCCAAAGGGGAACCCCAGGATCTTCCAGCCCCAATTCCCACTTTTCCCAAAAGGAACCCCAGGATTTTCTGGCCCTAATTCCCACTGTTCCCAAAGCTGGAACTTTGGGATTTTCTAGCTCTGATTCCCCCTTTTCCCAAAGGGAACTCTGGGATTTTCCATCCCTGATTCCCACTATTCCCAGACCCAGAACCCTGGGATTTTCCATCCCTAATTCCTGCTGTTCCCAAAGCTGGAACATTGGGATTTTCCATCCCTGATTCCCGCTGTTCCCAGACCCAGAACCCCGAGATTTTCTGGCCACATTCCTGCTGTTCCCAGACCTGGAACTACAGGATTTTCCAGCCCTGATTCCGGCTGTTTCCAAAGCTGGAAACTGGGATTTTCCAGCCATATTCCTGCTGTTCCCAGACCCAGAACCCTGGGATTTTCCAGCCCTGATTCAGCCCTTTTGGGAACACTGGGATTTTCTGGCCATATTCCCACTATTCCCAGACCCAGAAGCCCAGGATTTTCTGTCCCCAATTCCTGCTGTTCCCAAAGCTGGAACACTGGGATTTTCCAGCCCCAATTCCTGGTGTTCCCAGCCCCAGAACCGCGGGATTTTCCAGCCCAAATTCCTGCAGTTCCCAGCCCCAGAACCCCAGGATTTTCCAGCCCCGATTCTCGCTGTTCCCAAAGCTGGAACATTGGGATTTTCCAGCTCCGATTCCTGCTGTTCCCAGCCCCAGAACCCCGGGATTTTCCAGCCCCGATTCCCGCAGTTCCCAGCCCCAGAACCCCAGGATTTTCTGGCCATATTCCCGCTGTTCCCAGCCCCAGAACCGCGGGATTTTCCAGCCCCAATTCCCGCTGTTCCCAGCCCCAGAACCCCAGGATTTTCCATCCCTAATTCCCGCCGTTCCCAGCCCCAGAACCCCGGGATTTTCCGGCCATATTCCTGCAGTTCCCAGCCCCAGAGTGCCAGGATTCCCCCGGGATGTTCCCGTTTCCCACACAGGTACATGGCCATCATCCACCCGCTCCGGCCGCGCCTCTCGGCCGCGGCCACCAAGGCTCTGATCGGGCTGATCTGGCTGCTGGCGCTCCTGCTCGCCTTCCCCCAGGGATATTTCTCCGTCACCGCCGAGCTCCCAGGACGCCTCGTCTGCCTCGTGGACTGGCCGGAGCCCGGGGCAGCCATGTCCGGGAAAACGTGAGTGGGAACGGGGAAAACGGGGCAGGAACGGGGAAAACGGGGTGGGAATGGGGAAAAATGAGGTGGGAATGGGAAAAATGGGTAGGGTGGGAACGGGGAAAACGTGAGTGGGGATGGGGAAAACGTGAGTGGGGATGGGGAAAATGGGGTGGGAACAGGGAAAAATGGGGTGGGAATGGGGAAAAATGACGTGGGAACGGGGAAAAATGGGGTGGGAATGGGGAAAAATGGGTGGGGTGGGAATGGGGAAAAATGAGGTGGGAATGGGGAAAAATGGGGTGGGAATGAGGAAAAATGAGGTGGGAATGGGGAAAAATGAGGTAGGAACAGGGAAAATTGGCTGGGGTGGGAATGGGGAAAAACAGGGCGGGAATGGGGAAAAATGAGGTGAGAATGGGGAAAAATGAGGTGGGAATGGGGAAAAATGGAATGGAGGAGGGAAAGGGAAAAGTAAAATGAAAGGAGGAAAAAAAGAGGGGGGGGGGAAAGAGGAAAAGAAGAGGGGGGAAAAAAGGGGGAAAAGGAAGGGAAGGGAACTCCTGAATTTCCAAAGGGTCTCGGAATGGTTTGCCCAGGAGAGTAAAATGTTGAGGAAAAAAAGGATGGGGAGGAATAAAAAAGGGAATGAAAAAGGGAATAAATAAAGACAACAAGAAAGGGAATAAAATAGGGAATAAAGAGGGAATAAAAGAGGGAATAAAAAAAGGAGTTTGTGATGTCCAGCCCTGAGGAGGGAGGAGCTGGGGCTGTGGAATTCCGGGCCAGGTGTCAGATCCAGGAGTGGTCAGTGCCAAAGCCTCCCCGTGTCCTCTGTCCCGGCATTCCCAGCGTGGCACTGGTCGCCCTCGGGGGCCCCTGCCATCCCAGAATATTCCCAGATTCCCAGCCCACAATGAGGCAGCTGCTGACTGGGATGGATTATTCTGGTGCATTTTCCAAAGGCCGATCCCAAAGGAAAGCGGCGCCGTTAAATGCACAATGGATCCGCATCCCACGCTCTGGGAAAGTGGGGAAAGTGGGAAAAGTGGGAAAAGTGGGAAAAGTGGGAAAAGTGGGAAAAGGAGATCCCTGGCAGCTTCGGGATGGGCAAATCCCAAAGCATTTGGGGACTGGGAGGAACTCAGTGGCGTCTCCAGTCCTCGGGAATCCCACGAGCGGATCCGGGATGGGATTTCCCTGCCCTAAATAACCCGGGACAGGTGTTTGGGTCATTCCAGAGGCGCCATTCCAGCCCTTCCCCGCTCCATGGCCTTGGAGTGGATATTCCGGGAACGCTCCGGTGGCAGCTGCTCCGTTTGTGGCGCCAGGAGGAAAAAATTCCATCCCTGTTCCAGTTCCCAGGGAAAACAGGAGGAGAATCCAGGGAAAATAGGAGAATTCCAAAACTTCTGGGGGGAGTTCCTTTGGAAAACCTCTGGGGAGCAGAGCCCTGGTGTGCAGAGGGTACCAGAGCTGGTTTTTCCCTGGAAAACATCCCTGGGTTTGGTGAGAGCTGAGAATTCTGTTGGATTTAATCTGGCCATGGATCCCTGCTTCCCAAAGGGATCGGGAATTCTGTTTGGGGTTTTGAGGGAAGGGAGAAGCCACTCCTGGATCCCCTGGGAATTCAGGGATGTCCCTTCCATGCCAACATTCCTGGGATTCCCAGGGAAAAGGAGGCGGCAGCTCCATCCTCGGGCATCACGGGATCCTCCATCCCACACCGGATCCTAAAACCCTTCCAGCTGCAAACCCCAAATCTCCCGGAGCGCTGCGATCCCGGGAATGCTGCAGGCAGAACAATTCCCAGTGCTTTTCCATGCCTGGATCCCAAAAGAATTCCTGGAGCTGTCTGGAATGGCTCTCAGAGCCCAGGCCCCGCTGGGAATGGGGCTCTGCGCTGCTGACGTTATCCCGCAGCTCCTGCAGACATTCCTGCAGCGCTCTGAGGATCCGGAATTCCATGGGAACCGCAACAAAATCCTCCTCCGGAGCCGCCGAGACGCCTCTGGAATGAGGCAAACGAAATCCAGCCCCACCGAGGCCATCCCAAATGGAATTAGGGCCGGGAAAATCAGATTGCGGTTCTGAGCAGCAGCGGGGCCGGGGCCAGCCCCATTCCCAGCGGGAGAATTCCCAGAGCCGCTCCTCACCCTCTGGAGCAGGAGCACGGCTGGATTGGATCCAAATCCTTGGGAAGATGCAGGAGCTGGGACTGGAGCCCAAAAATCCACCCAGAGGTTCCCAAGCCTTGGGAATAAAATTCCCACTAACCAGGCAGGATTTGGGAAGTTTTCCAAGCCAGCACCAGCCACGTTTGTGGACTCGGTTTTTAGGGAAGTGAGGGTTTTCCAGGATTTTCAGCAGGGTTGGAGCCACCGTCCCCTCCTGTGCTTAAACCCAGAATTATTTGATTTCCATTTAAACCAACTCCTCTCTAACAGAAGTCCTCACTGATCCATAGCATTCCCAGAATTCTCACAGCATTCCCAGTGTTCCCATGGCATTCCCAGTGCTCCCACAGTGTTCCCAGTGCTTCCACAGCATTCCCAATGGTGGATCCTCAGGGATTATCCCCTTTATTTTTCCAGGTCCCACCATTTCTCCATGTCCATCCTGCTGGATCCTCAGGGACTATCCCTGTTTTTTTCCAGGTACCACTTTTCCATGACGGTCCTGCTGTACCTGCTGCCGCTGCTGGTGATCGGCTGCGCCTATGCCGCCGTCGGCCGCACGCTCTGGGCCAGCGCCATCCCCGGGGACTCCTCCGACCGCTACCACGAGCAGGTGTCGGCCAAGAGGAAGGTGAGGAACTCCGGGAGGGGCTGGATCCAGAATTCCAGGCCAATCTCCACAAGGTGAGGAATTCCCAGAGGGGCTGGATCCAGAATTCCTGGCCAATCTCCACAAGGTGAGGAACTCCAGGAGGGGATGGATCCAGAATTCCTGGCCAATCTCCACAAGGTGAGGAACTCTGGGAGGGGCTGGATCCAGAATTCCTGGCCAATCTCCATAAGGTGAGGAACTCCAGGAGGGGCTGGATCCAGAATTCCTGGCCAATCTCCATAAGGTGAGGAATTCCCAGAGGGGCTGGATCCAGAATTCCTGGCCAATCTCCACAAGGTGAGGAATTCCCAGAAGGGATGGATCCAGAATTCCTGGCCAGTCTCCACAAGGTGAGGAACTCTGGGAGGGGCTGGATCCAGAATTCCTGGCCAATCTCCACAAGGTGAGGAATACCCAGAAGGGATGGATCCAGAATTCCTGGCCAATCTCCACAAGGTGAGGAATTCCCAGAGGGGCTGGATCCAGAATTCCTGGCCAATCTCCACAAGGTGAGGAATTCCCAGAGGGGCTGGATCCAGAATTCCTGGCCGGTCTCCATAAGGTGAGGAATTCCCAGAGGGGCTGGATGCAGAATTCCGGGCCATTCCCAACGAAGGCCACTCCCAAGGCTGGAATGGCTGCAGGATGGCTGTCTCCCGTGCAGGTGGTGAAGATGATGATCATGGTGGTGTGCACCTTCGCGCTCTGCTGGCTGCCCTACCACGTCTACTTCACGCTGCAGTACCTGCGGCCCGAGTGGTACCTGCAGAGCTTCATCCAGCAGGTCTACCTGGCCGTCATGTGGCTGGCCATGAGCTCCACCATGTACAACCCCATCATCTACTGCTGCCTCAACGACAGGTGGGAGCGCCGCGCGGAGCGGGGTCCCAGGGGACAGGAGGGACGGGGTTGTTTTGGGATGGTTCTGTCCTGGGATGGTTCTGTCCTGGGATGGTTCTGTCCTGCCTTCCGCCACTTCCAGCAGAGGTGGGCGTGGCACAATTCTCACCTGGAGTCTTTCCTAATCCCCGTGGATTTTGAGGGCAAACATCAACTGAAACGATCCCAGCTCCTAATTGGGGTTTATGGGGGTTTTCCATTCCTCGGTGGGTTTTTAATTTCTTGGTGGATTTTTCATTTCTTGGAGGGTTTTTCCTCTCCTCAGTGAAAGATGGCAATTTTGTCATGTTTAGAAAAGCTCAGCTTGATCTCCCCCTTCCTTTGTCCATCTCCATCCTGTTCCTTTCGCCATCTCCATGTCTTTCCTCATTCCTTTGTCCATGTCCATCCCGTCCCTTTGTCCATCTCCACCCCATTCCTTTGCCCATGTCCATCCCGTTCCTTTGTCCATCTCCATCCCGTTCCTTTGTCCTTCTCCATCCCGTTCCTTTGGCCATCTCCATCCCGTTCCTTTGGCCATGTCCATCCCATTGCTTTGTCCTTCTCCATCCCATTCCTTTGTCCTTCTCCATCCCATTCCTTTGGCCATGTCCATCCCATTCCTTTGTCCATGTCCATCCCATTCCTTTGTCCATCTCCATCCCATTCCTTTGGCCATGTCCATCCCATTCCTTTGTCCATCTCCATCCCATTCCTTTGTCCATCTCCATCCCGTTCCTTTGTCCATCTCCATCCCATCCCTTTGCCCATGTCCATCCCATTCCTTTGTCCATGTCCATCCCATTCCTTTGGCCATCTCCATCCCATTCCTTTGTCCATCTCCATCCCGTTCCTTTGGCCATCTCCATGTCTTTCCCCATCCATGCCCGTGGCCAGGTTCCGGGTGGGATTCAAGCACGCCTTCCGCTGGTGCCCGTGGGTCAGCGCGGGCGAGTACGAGGGGCTGGAGCTGCGCTCGGCGCGCTTCCTGCACACGCACAGCTCCGTGTCCAAGCTCAGCCGCATGGACACCACCACCGTGGCCTCGGCGCTCGGCGTGGCCGACGAGGAGCTGGACGAGCCCGGCCGGGCCGAGCGGCTCTCCCTGGACATGACCTCCAACGGCTCCTCCCGCAGCGACTCCAAGACGGTCTCCGAGAGCTTCAGCTTCTACTCCAACACCCTGACCTAGACAGGTCCCCTCAGTGCCACCACCCTGCTTGTGCTGTGCCGGCGTTTCCCGCGCTGTTTCCCCATCTCTTTTCCTTGGGATGAGTTCCCTTGTGGGGCTGAGCACCAGGAATGCTTTCAGTGCCTGGCTGGAGATGGAGGGGATGCAGGAATGGGACAGAGCTGCGTTTCCCTCCACAATTCCAATGCTGGCCGGTGCTTCCGTGCCCTCTGCGAGGCAGGAGGGACCTCTCGGTGCATCCCACCCCATGGAAAACAGCCTCATCCTGCCCCTCCCTCCTCCCATCCTTAATTTCATTCTCCCTGCTGGATATCCAGGGGGATCTGGAATCCCAAAATCCCAAAAAGGCTTTTTCCAGCTGCATGGGGAGTCATCGGCCACAGCGCAGATTCTGGGATTCAAACAGGCCTGGCGCTGCTTTGGGTCTGTTTGGCAGAAGAAGCGCGGCTCCTCTGGAAGCCGCAGCCAAGGATCCAGCGGCGCCTTTGGAAGCCGCAGCCAAGGATCCATCCGGGAGCCATTCCCATTGTTCGGAGCATTTTTCTGGGATTGCCGTGGATACAAGGCCTGCCCCGCCCATCCTTGTCTTTATTGTTGTTTTTATTTTCTGTCCCTGAGGGCTCCTCATGGCCGAGGTTCCAGGAGGGGAAGCACAGGATCCGCTCTTTACGGAGCGTTCCCACGGGGAATGACGGGATTTGGGTTTTTTGGGATTTCCGTGTCCTTGCTGGAGCCCTGGTGTGAGGTCACAGAGCCCAGCCTGGGAGCTCCCGGGGATTATTTCCCATTAAAATCACCATAATCTGAAAAAATTCCAATATTCAGCCTTCAGGACCCACCATGGGCCCTTCCAGCCTTCCCCATTCTGGGATTCCGGGATTTTGGGATTTATTCCTCTCCCAAACCCTGCCCCAAAATCCTGTGTCCAGCTGAAAGATGGACACAACCATTACAATGCAAAGTTTAGCATGGGAATCCCCCTTTTCCGTGGAAAATCCACCCCAAATCCCATTTCTGCTGGAATATCCACCCCAAATCCCATTCCTGTGACTCTGACATCCCTGAGGAATTCAGGATGGCGGCAGCTGGAAGGGACTTTCTGGGAAGTTCTTCCCATGGGAGCATCCCAAGAAAGAGGGAACCCAAGCGTCCTTCCCAAAGTGTCTCAGGATTGTCCCGGCGTGGATTTTCATGGATAAATATTCCTTTGATGTGGAGAATGGTTTGTTATCCCTTAACAAGGGGAGGAGGGGTGGGAGCGGGAAGAGCTGGAAAAGCTAAAATTCCATGAGAAAGATGGATGATGGATTTGGGGCACCCTCAGTGGGAGGGGTTTGCCCTGAAATGTCGCCAAAACAGGAAAAAGGGACAATTCCCAAAATTCCTCCTCAAATTCAGGGCTGGGAGTGCAGCACTGATTCCCAAATCAGGGAAAAGGCTCTGATCCCCCCTGGAGCACGGGCAGGGCTCGGGGCCACTCCATTCTCCGGGCAATTCCCAGCGTTTCCAGTGTCCCTGATGGATTCCAGCTCCCCTTCCCAAGCTGGGCTTCCCAAATCCCGCTGCTCACCGGGAACGCGCAATCCGTGCTTTTCCAAGCAGGATATTCCAGGTGGGAATTGCAGGAGCATCCCACCCCCGCTGGCAGTTCCAGCCGACTGGAATTCTGGATTTTAATTAAAGCAGCGTTCCCAGGCTCAGCTCAGCCCCACGGGCCCGCTAAACTCCGGCTGCTGGTTTTCCATCAGTGATTTTATCCGGGAAAAAGGAGAGAAGGGATAAATATCCACACGTTCCTGGCTGAGCTTCCTGTGAATGCCGGGCTGGATCCCCCTTCCCAACGGAGCCGTTTCCTTCACTGGGATTATCCCTTCCCAGTGGGATTCAGATCAGGATCATCCCATCCCATCCCATCCCATCCGGATTCAGGTCCCAATGGAGACATTTCCTTCACTGAGATTATCCCTTCCCAGTGGGATTCAGATCCCAATGAATCCATCACAATCATCCCAGTCCATATGGATTCAGATCCCAACAGATCCATCAGGATCATCCCATCCCCTTTCCAGGGCTGTCCCTAATGGGGAATTTCACTCCCGCCCCATAAAATGAGGTACAAAATCCCCCTCAGCCACACAAGGAAAGGGAATTCCACATTCTCGGGGCTTTGGGTTATCCCTCCATCTCCAATTCCATGGGGAAACCCCCCAAAATCGGGGCTGACCACAAACAACCCCAAATTTTGTCGCTTTTGGTGCTTTCCAAGCGGGATCCGCAGCTCTGAGCGAGCCCATCCTGCTGAATTCCCTCTCTGCTTCAGCCTCATTTCCATGGATGTATTCCAGCGTTTTGCATAAATGTTTGCTTAATGCCGAGTCCAAAATATCCCAGAAAATAAAAAACCCCAGGAACTCAAGGCAGCTCCCGGCTCCCAGGGCAGATCCCGCGGTTTCCATGGCACCCGGGGGGCTCTGGGATGCTTCCCAAAAACTCAGAGCTCAGGGAGGAATGATTTGGGTTCAGGACATCGACATGGAAGGGAATTCACGTTTGTCAGGAATGCCCAGTTTCATTTTTGGGGCAGATTCCTGCAGATTTGGGGTTCCTGGAGGGTGGAGAATTCCAGCTTGTTCCCAGCAGTAATTAGCGTTAATTACCCTGGTAATTACTGAGCTCTGAACAGGAGCTGCCGGCAGCAGCCATTAGGAACCAGCCTGGGCTGGGGGGGAATTTTGGGGTGGGAAATGAGGAATTCAGTTGGATTTGGTGTTTCCAGGGCCAAGGAACCTCCTGGGCATCGGGAATTCCAGAGGGAAGGAAGGGAAAAGAGGAGAGAGGAAATTGCTTCCACAAGGATGGGCTTAATTTGAAATTAATTATTCATTGGAGCAACCGACGTTGCAGGAGGATTTAAGGAATCCTGGGGGATCCACGCTCTAGCCAGGATTTTTTAGGAAGAAATTCCTCCCTGAGGGGCTGGGATGGGATGGGCACCAAAATTCTGGGAAATCCTGGGATTTGTGGCACAAGAACTGGGGATAAACCCCAGGGAATGAGAGCACCAAAGGTCAGATCCTCACTGCTCATTGGGAGTGAGGGGTGGGAGAGGGTATTGGGGCCATTCTCAGGGAATGAGGGGCAGCCAAAAGGGATTGGGACCATTCCCAGGGAATGAGAACCAAGAGAAAGGATTGGGGCCACTCTGAGCTCTGTGACACTCCAGCCTCTTCCAGAACATTCCCACTAAAGGGAAAAGAATCCATCCTAGCTGGAGGCGAGTGAGGCGTGCAGCAGCCAGGCAGAACAGAGCTTCCCAATGAAATCTCGGAAAGATCCAACCCCTTTCCCTCTCCTGAGCTTTCCCTCGTGGCCCTGGAGCCACGGCCAGAGGGGATGGACACGGCCCTGGAAGGGGAAAACAGGGGGAGAATGCCCTGAAATCCCAACTCCGAGGCCTTTCCCAGGCTTCCATTCAGGGAATAGCCAGGGAATGGTCAGTTGGTCCCAGGGTGGGATTCTCTGCCCATTCCCTGACCATTCCCTGCCCATTCCCTGAGCATTCCAGGCAAAGTCTCCAATCCTCGTTCCCTCCCCTTTTCCCAAGTTTCCCACCCCACAGCTCGGGGACATCCCGGTGCCCCAAATCCTCCCCAGCCCTTCCCAAGCCCGGCTGGAAAAGCCCCGGCAGCTCCCAAAGGAAACCCCTCCCTGCACCCAGGAGCATCCCCACATCCTCCCGGGATTTTGGGAATTGTGGGGAGCTGGGAATCGAGTCCTGGCAGGGATTTCTGGAGCCAGGGAGGGATCACAGCCCTTTGTACCATTGCTGTCACAGTGATCCATTCCCTCAATTCCCCCTTTCCATGCAGGAACGTTCCTGCTGATGCCGGGGGAAAATCCGCTGCCGTTGCCAGGGCAGGAATGATTTATTTGGGCATAAAACCTGTCAGAATTCCTTGGAGTCTCCTCCGGGATGGGCTCAGCTGCAGAGATTGATTTGTTTACAGCAGCCACGGAAAGCGGGGGCTGCTCCCGGGAAAACACATCCCAAACCCAGCCGGGGATTTTCCAGCCTCTCCTGCTTATCCGGGAGCAGCCGAGGGAAGGGACCAACCCCATTGCTCAGCCCCCACATTGTCAGGGGGACAAAAAAAAAAACCCCAAAGTGGTTCAGATCCTCCAGGTCTGGGAATCGGCCGGGGCCTCCTGGGTGCTTGGAATCTTCCAGGGAGATTCCAGGCTGCTCTTCCAAGGAGATTCCAGGCTCCAAGCATTGATTCCTTTGCCATTTTTGGGGTTGGATGAAGGCAGAGCTGAGATCCCTCTGGCTCTGTCCTGGCAGGAATGGAGCCTGGCTCCAGGGGGACAGATGGAGCCAAAATATAACTGAGATCTGGGGGTTGAGGACCACCTTAAATCCACATATTCCTCAGAAAAATGGAATTTTCCTTGTTTGGTTCCAGTTGATGGATGGCTGTGCTTGGAATGGGTTCTATAAAAACTCAACTGTGAACTGAGCCCAGGAAGGGCTCAACTGAGGAAACGGGATTTTCTTTGTTTGGTTGACGTGTAGATGTGTGTGGAATAAAAACCAAAGTGTGGATCAGGCTCAGCTCCAGAGGGATGGATGGAGCCAAAACCAAACTGGGATTTGGGGGTTAAGGATCACCCTAAATCCACACATTCCTTAGGAAAAATGGGTTTGTCCTTGCTTGGCTGATGGATGGCCGCGTTTGGAAGGGGTTCTATGGAAACCCAGATGTCACGCCCATACTGGGGACAGGGCTGGGTGGTGTTTCCTTGGATCAGCCCTTCCCGGGAGCCTGGAATATCCTGGATAGGGACACCATTCCCTAAATCCAGGTTTTCCCCCCTGGGACATCCCACGGCTCCGTCGCACTCTGGAGCTCGGATTTAATGAATCCCAAAGGTGTTTTCCACCCTCAGCAATTCCATGGTTCTGTGACCCCTTGGCCGCTCCGTGCGGGGAGGGGAAATCCTGGGAACCATTCCTGCGGAGACCAATCCACGGCTTTTCCTCCTGCTCCATCCAGCGGCTCGGCCGGGAAAAACCGCCGGGAAAAACGGCGGCACCCAGCGGCAGCGTCCCTAAATCGTGAATTCCGGCTGGGAATGCCGGAAAAGCTCCTGCTCCCGGTGGAGTCAAACCCCTCTTCCCAAACTTTGGGAATTCCCAAGCTTTGGGGACAGATCTGGCACATCCAGGCCATCCCAAATTTTCCCTAAAGTTCCCAGAGCACCAGGGATGCTCCAGAAGGAAAAGCCATGGATTTCCTTTCCTCTTGGCAGAGCTTTGCCTCAGGCACAGAGCTCGGGGCTCTCCCAGGAGCGTCTCCCAGAGATGTGGGACCCGGTGAGGGTCACGGGGAATGTGGGAATTACATCTGGAGAGTGACAGGAAATACGGGAACACATCTTGGAGAGTGACAGGGAATGCGGGAATACACTTTGTAGAGTGACAGGGAATGTGGGAATTACATCTGGAGAGTGACAGGGAATGTGGGAAGACACCTGGAAGGGCAAAGTGAATATCGGGACCCACCTGGAAGGGAAGGCTTGGATGTTGCACTCAGTGACAAGGTGGGGATCGGGCCCAGCTTGGACTCAGCGATCCCAAAGATTCCAAGATTACCTCAGCGATTCCGGGGTTAGCGGCGCGGCTCTGGCGGCTCCTCCTCCTTCCGGGGGGGGCTCCAGAGCAGCACCGGAGGCCGCTGACCCCGCTCCGGCCCCGGAATTTGGGGGGAAAAGGGGGAAATGGCGAGGCCGCCCCTTCCCTTCCCGGGCCCCCTCACGGCTCCCTCAGAGCGAAGCCCCGCCCCCTTCACCCTCACGACCGTTACTGAGCGCGCGCCGCCGTTCAAACCCGCCTCGGGGGCGGGCGCGCCGCGCGCTGATTGGCAGGAAGGGGCGGAGGGGGCGTGGCCCCGGGGATGGCGGGCTCGCCCGCTGCGCGGCGCGGAGCCACGGCCATGGCTGCCTGCAGCCCCAGCGCTGCCGCCGCCTTCCTCTCGCCGACCCTGCGGGCCCCCGGCAGCACCGGCACCCCCGTGTTCGCCGAGTGCCCCGACAACGACGATGAGCGCGAGAGGCGCCAGCGCCGCCGCTCCAGGGCTGTGGACTCGTCGCTGCAGGGCCTCGGTTCCCCATCGCTCAGGTAGGGCCGGTGCGCGATGCCCGGGCCGAGGGGGGGAATGCGGGCACCGACCCCCGCGGGGCTGCGGGGGGAATGCGGGCACCGACCCCCGCGGGGCTGGGGGGAGAGCCCGGACACCGATCCCGCTGTGTCCCGGCTGAGGGGAGGGCCCGGGCACCGATCCCGCTGGGCTGGGGCTGAGGGAAGAGGCCGGGCTGAGGGCAGCCCCGGTAGCGACCCCGCTGTGTCCCGCAGGACCGAGAGCTGGCAGCCGCCGCTGCCCCAATGGACCAACGCGCAGATCTCGGAGCACTACAGCACCTGCATCAAGCTCTCCACCGAGAATGTGAGTCAGGGCAGCCGCGTTTGGGCCCTGCGCGGTTTAAAATCCCTCACCCGCGGCTCTGGCAGGTTAAAGGGCCATAAAGGGGTGTCTGGTCCCAGCTGGGCCATGGGTTCTGTGCACACGCTTCTGGAATATCTCTGGGCAATCCCAGGAAAAAGTTCCTGTGGGACTTTTTCCTGCCCATGGGTGTCCCTGGCCAGGGGAAGGGTCCCAGCTTTTTCTTCTGGGTGCTGCTTTCTTGCAGAAAATCACCACCAAGAACGCCTTTGGGCTGCACCTGATCGATTACATGACCGACATCCTGAAGCAGAAGAACTCGGAGCTCACCAACTTCCAGGTCAGAGGGGTCCCTGCTGCTGCTGCTGCTTCATTTCTGTTGGACCACGTCCTTTTCTGGCCCAGAGGTGGGGCAGCTGAGAGGTGTTTCAAAAACTTGCACTCCATTTTCAGTCTCACGTGAGGGGTGAGACAATACAGATGTTATAATTCAGGCTATCACAGTCAGGAGCCCATGTTGCTGTTGAGGCGGTCATCTCTTATCTTCTCTTATCTTTCTTCTCTTGGTCTCCTTGGTTACAGCCTTGGAGAGAGCTCCTTATCAGCTTCTCCTTGCTTCTCAGCTTCTCCTCACTCCTTTAGCTAGCAGGCCTGCTGTTAGCCCCTTCCACAAGCCAACTATTTCCAAATTACACTATAACTCATTGTTATATTATATTAAACATTAACCAAAAAATTCTCCAATTAACAAACCAAAACCGCTGCACAAAAATGGCATTTCTAAACAATTCCTAAAGGATTTTTAGCTGCAATGCCAAAAAAAAAACAAAAAAAAAAACCAAACTATGGGGAGAACACCCTTTGGGGTGTCCATAGCTTTCACTAAACCCTTTCCCTGTTATTGTATTTATTTATCCCGGTTTCCCTGGGGGTGCAGAGCCCTGGGGGGTGGCCCCGGTGGGGGTTTCCCTGCCCAGCTGGGAATTCCCTGTCCCTGCAGGTGGCAGCCGGGACTCTGGACGCCAGCGCCAAGATCTACGCCATGCGCGTGGATTCCGTGCACGCCGACGCCTTCAGGGTCCTGGGCCACCTGGGCAAGGAGCCGCCCCCTGCCCGGGACTCAGACAGCCCCCAGGAAGGTGGGAATTCCCCCTTTTCCTCCCAGAAAACCCCCGGGGATTCCCCCTCGTTTCCCAGCCAGGCTCGGGGGGAGCCTCGGCGCTCTTTGGGAGTTCTGAAGGCGTTTGGGATCAGTTGGATCAGTTGGGTTTTCCAAGGGCTGGGAGATCCCGGATGGGTTCTCCTGGAATGCTGGAGCAGGGAGGGGTGGGAGGAGGAGCTGGATCTGTCACTCAGTGATTTCAGGTTGCACTTTGGGATCAAACAGGGGCAGTTTTTTGCCCAACAGAATCCATAGGAAGCCAGCAGAGCGCTGCTGATGCCCACACATCCTGAGGGATTTCAATGCCCGCTGCAGTTTGCTGTGCCAATTCCAGGGTTTCTCCCTCCTTTGGGGTACCCCAGCCCTTCTGAGGTGGAATTTGTCCCTTTCCCCATGCCAGACTCCAGCCCAGCTCCTGAGGCTGCCAAGAAGGCTCAGCCAAAGAAGAAGCAAAGCTTCAAAACCATCGAGCAGAACCTGAGCAACATCAACGTGCCCGAGGGCAGCCAGCGGCCTGAGGTGGGCCTGGGCTGCTCCTCATCCTCCCTGGGCTGCTCCTCATCCCCCCTGCCCTGCCCCTCATCCTCCCTGCCATTCTGTCCTGGTTTTCCATTCCTGATTCCCATCTCCATTCCTGAGTCCCATTCCCTGATTCCCACCTCCGTTCCTGGATTCCCACCTCCGTTCCCGATTCCCATTCCCCAATATCCATCTCCATTCCCCCATCCTAATTCCTCTCTGTATTCCCTGATTCCCATTCCCATTCCCTAATTCCCCCCTCCATTCCTGGATTCCCATCCCCATTCCCTGTTTCCCCTCTCCATTCCTGGATTCCCATCCCCATTCCCTGATCCCCCTCCATTCCTGGGTCCCCATTCCCTGATCCCCCTCCATTCCTGGGTCCCCATTCTCTGATCCCCTCTCCATTCCTGGGTCCCCATTCCCTGATCCCCCCTCAATTCCTGGATTCCCATTCCCTGATTCCCCTCTCTATTCCCTAATTCCCACCTCCATTCCCTGATCCCCCTCCATTCCTGGGTCCCCATTCCCTGATTCCCCCTCCATTCCTGGATCCCCATTCCCTGATCCCCCTCCATTCCTGGGTCCCCATTCCCCGATCCCCCTCCATTCCTGGATCCCCATTCCCTGATCCCCTCTCCATTCCCGGATCCCCATTCCCTGATCCCCTCTCCATTCCTGGATCCCCATTCCCTGATCCCCTCTCCATTCCCGGATCCCCATTCCCTGATCCCCTCTCCATTCCCGGTTTTCCAGGTGGATCCCATGTTCCAGCGCGCAGTCGCCTCCTTTGACGAGTGCAACACCGCCGGCATTTTCCTGACGGGGCTGCGCTCCCAGGGCTTCCAGAGCCGCCTCCTCTTCCCCTCTGAAATCGTCCCCCTGCCCTCCTCGGAGAGCCTGGCCCTGCCCAGCTCCCATCCCGTCACCGTGCCAGCCCTGAAAGGTGAATCCCAGCCTTTCCCAGCCTTTTCCCTGCTTGGATCCTGCCCTTTTCCCGTGCATTCGTTCCCGGCTTGGATCCTGCTCCAGCTGCTGGAAAAGTGGGGGTTTGGGAGGCTCGAGGTCCTGAGCCAGGCTGGGAATTCCGGAGTAAGATTGGGAATTCCTGAGCCAGATTAGGGATTCCAGAGCCAGGCTGGGAATTCCTGATCCAGGTGGGAATTCCTGCTGGGATCCCAGGAACTCACCTGTGTCCCCCCTCTCCGCAGCCCTGCTGACCCCGTGCCTGGAAAAACGCCGGATCTGCTCCTCCCTGGCCGGATTCCAGTTCACCAAGTGGGATGAGGAGTCCCACAACGAGGTGGGTGGGAGTCCCTGAGCCAGATTAGGAATTCCAGAGCCAGACGGGAATTCCAGAGCAAGGTTGGGAATTCCAGAGCAAGGCTGGGAATCCCTGAGCCAGGTTGGGAATCCCTGAGCCAGATTCCATAGCCAGGTGGGAATCCCTGATCCAAGTGGGAATTCCTAACACAGATTCCTGAGCCAGTTTGGAAATTCCAGAGCCAGATTAGGGATTCCGGAGCCAGATGGGAATTCCTGATCCGGGTGGGAATTCCTGATCCAGGTGGGAATTCCTGAGATGAGATTAGCGGTTCTTGAGCCACATGCCCGGTCCAGGTGGAGAATTCCCAATCCAGTCAGGATCCCCAATCCAGGTTGGGAATTCCTGATCTGGGTGGGATTCCTGATTCAGATAAGGAATTTCCAATCCAGGTGGGGATTTCCAGTCCAGGTTGGGAATTCCCGATCCAGTCAGGATCCCCGATCCAGGTTGGAAATTTCTGATCCGGGTGGGATTCCCGATGCAGATTGGGAATTTCTGATCCGGGTGGGATCCCTGATTCAGATAAGGAATTTCCAGTCCAGGTGGGGATTCCCAGTCTGAGTTGGGAATTGCTGGTCCGGGCGGGATCCGCAGTCCAGGCTGGGCGCTCGTGTGTTGCAGTCGGTGTCGGCGCTCCTGGAGAAGTTCCGGAAGAGCGAGCACGCCTTCGATCCCAACCTGGATCCCGACAGCGAGGAGGGCGAGGCCTGGGCCCCCTCCCAGCCCGAATTCCAGCCCGAATCCCCGGCCGGGAATGGGAACCACCCGGAATTCCAGGCCAACGGAGACTCCCTGGGCCACAGCAAGAGGTGGGGCTGGGGTCCAGGGATGGCAGCTGGGCTGGATTCCAGGGGAATTCCCAGTGCCAGCGAGGAATTCCCAGGGAATTCTGAGCAGGGATAACAAATCCCTTGGGAATGCCGAGGGAATTCTGACCTGGAGTAATAAATGCCAGGGGAATTCTGAGCAGGGATAACAAATCCCTTGGGAATGCCGAGGGAATTCTGAGCAGGGACAGCAAACACCAGAAGTTTTGAGCGGAGACAGCAAACCCCAGGGATGCTGATGGAATTCTGAGCAGCTGCCATTCCTTTTCCCTTTTTTTTTTTTTTTTTTTTTTGTTTCCAGGAGCACCGGAGCTGCCCTGGGAGAGGGGGACATCGGCACGATGAGCCTGCACGTGTCCCTGAATCCCGGGGAATATTCCTACTTCAGCCCCCGCGTGCTCTCCATGTGGGCCGGCCCCGAGCACTGGCGCTTCCGGCCCCGCCAGCCCCGTGAGCGCCCGGGGCAGGGAGACCTGGAACTGTGGGCTGGGAGAGGCTGGAAGCCTGGAATTCCTGACTGGGAAAGGCTCAATCCTGGAATTCTGGGCTGGGAGGGGCTGGAACCCTGGAATTCCTGACTGGGAAGGGCTCAGTCCTGGAATTCTGGGCTAGGAAGGGCTCAGTCCTGGAATTCCTGACTGGGAAAGGCTCAGTCCTGGAATTCTGGGCTAGGAAGGGCTCAGTTCTGGAATTCTGGGCTAGCAAGGGCTCAGTTCTGGAATTCCTGACTGGGAAGGGCTGAACCCTGGAATTCCTGGCTGGGAAAGGCTGAATCCTGGAATTCCTGACTGGGAAGGGCTCAATCCTGGAATTCTGGGCTAGCAGGGGCTCAGTTCTGGAATTCCGAGCTTTTTCCGTTCCCATTTTTCCTCTCCCCCTTCTTTTCCCTGCTGTCCCTCAGCAGCCCCAGGCCTGGAGAAGGATTCCCGGCAGAGGATTCCCAGGAAGGTTTTCGAGCTGGATTTCGAGGAGGACATCGACTTCCAGGCCTATTTTCAGAAGACCAAGGTGCCCACAGAGCCCTTTTCCCACAGCAGCCTGGAATTCCCGGGATTTGGGGCAGCTCCAGCTGTTGTGTCCTGGGGGGCACCTCCCGCCCTGCCCCTTCCCAGACAAAAACACTTCACTGTTGTTTTTCCATGGAAAACTGGTGGAGCTTCCCATTTTTCCATGGAGCTGTCCTGTCCCGTTCCCAGGCATCCACAACTTTGGCCAAATCCATCCTGGAGAGCCAGAACAGCCGGAGCACCACGCTCCCCGCAGACTTCAACTACGACCCCGAGAACCTGGGGCAGCTCTTCCTCAAGCCCCACATCAAGGTGAGAATTCCCAGAAGAATTCCAGGGAATCGTCCTGGGGAGCCATTCCAGGGAACTGTCCCACAGAATCACCCCAAGGTGCCATTCCAGGGAATCATCCTGGGAATCATTCCCGGCACCAAACCTGTGCTCACCAAACCCTGGGAATGTTCCGGATGTTCCCCGGGGCTGCTCCCACCACAAACCCTCCTGGAAGGGCGATGAAGGGCCAAGGCCCAGCCTTTTCCCAGGGATGTTTTGGAATGTTTTCCCCCAGCTCAGCCCGAGCTCGGATCCAGCGGGAGCCTTGGACAGCGAGGCTGGGGTTGAGGATTACGACTACAACAACGCCAACGACACCTCCAACTTCTGCCCTGCCCTGCAGGTACAGCCCAGCAATTCCTGCTGGGATGAGATCCACAATTCCTGAGGGGAGGAATCGGAGCTGCGGGGCCCTCCTGGCGCCCAGCCTGGCCTGGACATTCCCAGGGCTGGGAAAACTTTGGGATTTCTGCTCCCTGCAGCTGCCTTGGCTTCAGCCTTGGCCCCGTTCCATGGGGATGAACCCAAATCCCATGGGGTAAACCCCAATTCCTTGGGAATAAACCCCAATTCCATGGGATAAACCCCAATTCCATGGGAATAAACCCAAATCCCATGGGAATAAACCCAATTCCATGGGTAAACGCCAATTCCATGGGATAAACCCCAATCCCATGGGAATAAACCCCAATTCCATGGGATAAACCCCAATTTCATGGGGATAAACCCAATTCCATGGGAATAAACCCCAATTCCATGAGAATAAACCCAATCCCAAGGGGATAAACCCCAATTCCATGGGAATAAACCCAATTCCATGGGGATAAACCAGATTCCATGGGATAAACCCCAATTCCATGGGGTAAACCCCAATTCCATGTGGGGATAACCCCAATCCCCTGGGGAAGCCGGGCAGGAATTCCCACCCTCTGGAGCAGTTCCTGCTGCCTCTGGCTCCTCCCAGGTGACTCTGGTGTCCCCCCCGTGTCCCCTGGCAGGTTCCTGACAGCGACGACGATCCCGATCCCGCGGAATTCCCGGGCCAGGCGGGGCTGCTCCCGCTCCCAGCTCATCCCGAGGCTCCGGAGCACTCCGGGATCAACGGCAGGAACGGCCCCGGCTGCGGGGAGCTGGAGCTGATTGCTGAGCCCCCCAAGGTCACTGGGAGCACTGGGAACACTGGGCTGGAGATTCCTCCCTGGGACTGGGAATTTCTCACTAGAACTGGGAATTCCTCCTTGGGACTGGGAATTCCTCCCTGGTCTGGGCTGGAGCAAAAACCTCTCAGCGCCTCCAGGGTTAAAAATCCCAGGACACTCCCGTGGTTCCAGGGATTGCCAGGATGGGCATTCCCAGAGGAACAATTCCCAGACTAAACGTCGGGATTGGCAGCAAGCTGTTGTTCCCATGGAAAATCAGGAATCATGAGCATTGTGGCTGTGATCCCAATGATGATCCTGGTGATGATCCCAGATAATCCCAGATTTCCCCCTCAGGTCCATAAGATCCCCATCCAGTACGCCAGGACAGCCAAGAGGATGGACATGAGGAGGCTGAAGAGGAACATGTGGGAGCTGCTGACGGAGCAGGGAGAGGTCAGGAAGGGAAATTCCTGCTGGGAATTCTGCAGGGGCTCCTTCCCAGTCCCTGGGATCAGCCCAAATCCCGTGGGAAAAGCCCCAGTCCCAGGGGATAAACCCCAATCCCTTGAGGATGAACCCCAATTCCATGGGGATAAACCCCAATCCAATGGGGATAAACCCCAATTCCATGGGATCAGCCCCAAGTTTCCCATTGGCCAGGGAGGGCTGAGGTTCCCAGGGGTTTTCCTTGCAGTTTGGGGGCTCTGCATTCCCGGGTTTTCCCAAGCAGGAGGAGGAGGAGGCCGGGGAAGGGACGGATGTGAAGGTGGCCGGAGAGAAAAGCCTGAGTGACCTCATCAAGGATCTGTGGCACAGGTCGGGAATGGGAAAATCCCAAATGGGAATAATGGGAATAATGGTAATAATGGGAATGAGAATAGGAAAATCCAGGATGGGAATAATGAGAATAGGAATGGGAAAATTCCAAATGAGAATGGGAATAATGGCAATGGGAACGGGAAAATCCCACATGGGAATGGGACAGGGAAAATCCTCAGTGGGAATGGGAATAATGGGAATGAGAATAGGAAAATCCAGGATGGGAATAATGGGAATGGGACAGGGAAAATCCCACATGGGAATGAGGAAATCCCGAATGGGAATGGGAAAATCTCTCCAGGTGTTGGGATGGGAATGGGACAGGGAAAATCCCGAGAGGGAATGGGGCTGGGAGTGGGACCAGGAGAGGGCCGACCCCTGAGGCTGTTCCCAGGGAAGAGCCCATTCCCTGCTCCCGGGCATTCCTGGCTGCTCTGGCATTCCCGGGCTCTGGTCCCGATCCCGCTTTTCCGCAGGCTCCCTCCTGCCATGGCCTCTGACCTGTCGGTGCCCTTGGCCTTCGTGTCCCTCCTGCACCTGGCCAACGAGAAGGTGAGAGCAGGGAGCCATTCCCACCAATCCCAGGGATTCCAGGGATTGCAGCTTGTTCCATCCATCCCAGGCTTTCCATGGAATACAGCTCATTCCCAGGGAATGGGAGCATTCCCAGCTCGCGCAGGGTTTGTCCCCTCAGAGCCATCCCGGGCATTCCGGACTCTGGATAAGAACAGAATCCCAAAATCCCAGAATTCCTGAGGCTGCAAAAGCTCTCCAAGGTTACAACATGCCCGATCCCCACCGGGATTCCTTCCACACCCAGGAATTCCTTGGAATTCCTGCAGGGATGGAGACTCCAACCCCCCCTGGGGGCTCCTTCCCATGAGGAAATTCCTGCTCAGACCCCATTCCCTGGAAAAGCCCCTGGGCAGGGCAGGAGGGGCCGGGATTGTTCCCAAGCCTCATCCCAGGGGATTTCATTCCAAAGCTTTTCCTTCCCATTCCCAGAATCTGAAGCTGGAGAGCACCGAGGACCTGGCAGATATCCTGGTGAGAGGAGGGGACTGACCCTGATCCAGCTGGGAATGCTGAGAAACCCCAAAATCCCAAATCCCTGGGAAGGCTGGGATTCAGGGATGTCCTGGCTGGACAGATCCCAACCAGGATCCAGCAGCTTTTCCCTGGCATTGGAAATTCCTGCACTTCACTGTGAACCCAGGCTGCTCTGTGTCCCAAAATTTCCTCTCTGTGTCCCAAAATTTCCTCTCTGTATCCCAAAATTTCCTGTCTGTCCCAAAATTCTGTCTGTCTGTCCCAGAATTCCCTCCCTGTTTCCTTCCCAGTCTGTAATTCCCAGTTTTTGGACTGACTGTTACTCCTGGCCCTGTTCCCTCCATTCCCTGGGATTATTCCCTTTTTTTTAACTGTTTTCAAGGTTAATAAATTTTGCACACTTTGGAGAGGGGCCTGGAAGGAACAACCTGGAGTGGGGCAGCAAATGGGGACAAATCCCTGGAAAAAGGGAATGCAAGGACCAGAGCCTGGAGCAGCAGCTGGGAACGGGATCCAGGAACCGAATTGTGGGATGGGATCGGTGCTGGGACCTCTCCCTGCTGGGAGCCCTGGAATTCTGCTCCTGCTTTTCCTGGGATATCCTGATCTCCAGGGCAGGGGTCTCTCCCTGCTGAGCCCCCTGGAATTCTGCTCCTGCTTTTCCTGGGATATGGAGCTCCCTCGGGAACCCCCGGAGCTCCCTCACTCTTCCCGGGATTTCCCCGCTCCGAGGATTCCAGGAGGGATGTGCGGCCCTTCCCTCGCTCCCCCCGGGGAAATGGGAATTCCAGAGGCTGCTGCTGCTCCGGGGGTTGGTGCTCCAGGGCATGATGGTTTTCCAGGAATTGATGCTCCAGACGCTGATATTCTAGGAGCTGCTGCTCCAGGAATTGCTCTCCCAGGGGTTGTTATTCCAGGGACTGATATTCCAGGGATTGGTGCTCCAGGGGTGCTCAGCTGGGCCCGGGACCCTGAAACCCGATCTGTTCCTAGAATCCCTTTATTTATTCCTGAAACCCGATCTGTTCCTAAAAATCCCGTTTATTCCTGAAACCCGAGCTGTTCCTAAAAATCCCGTTTATTCCTGGGACCCGATCTGTTCCTAAAATCCCGTTATTTATCCCTGAAACCCGATCTGTTCCTAAAATCCCGTTATTTATCCCTGAAATCCCTTCCATCCCAGCGCCGATAGAGCTGGGAACGCTGGACCAGGAGCGAGGGGAAACTGAGGCAGGGCCCCCCCCTTCCCGCAGCTCCGGGCGTCCCAACCCGGACAAAAACCGGGAATAAAACCCCGAGCGGGGCTTTTTGCTGCTTTGTTTCACCCATTATCGCCAAATCCCGCGTTTATGGCGGGGAAGGGGGGGTTCGGTGCCACCCGCGGCTCCTTCACCCCCTTCCCACCCCGGGAGGGGCGACCGGAGCCCGGTGCCCCTCCCGACTTCCCCCCGCTGCCGCTTTCGCGGCTTTTTGGCCCAAAATGAGTCACCGCGGGATTTTTTTTCTTTTTCTCTCATTTTTCGGGACTCTCACGAGTCGAAGCGGGGCAGGGGGGATTCACGGGGGGCTGAGCCCCGACCGTGCCCGGCGTGGGAGCGGCCCCGGTGCCGCGGGACGGGGATTGGCGATCCCGGGACAGGGGACGGGGGCAGCGTCCCCGGGATGCTGGGGACCCCCGGGAAGGGATGGGGGACGGCGATCCCGCCCTGTCCCCGCCCTCGGGGCGGCTCCTCGGCGGGGAGCGGCGCTTTGGGGCCGGGAAAGTCCGGCCCAGTCATTCGGGGCGCGGGGGGAGAAGCCCCAAAAGCGCGTCCGTTCCGGTAAGGAAAGAGTCAATGGCTGCGGCTCGCACACGCCACTTCCCCGAGCGGGGCTGACTCATCCCGGGCTCGGTCCCGCTCCGCGACACCCGCGCTCCGCTCCGGCCGCCCCGGAGCGCTGCCCGAGCCTCCGCCGGTGAGTCCGGGGGTCCCGGGGGGCTGAGGGGTCCCGGGGCCCGCCCCGAGCCGCGCGTCCCCCGCCCATCCCCGCGTCCCGAGCGGGACCGGCCGCGAGCCCCGAAACGCCGAGCGCAGCGGGAGCCCCGCGAGGGTCCCGGAGCCGCGGCCGCCCCCGGGGGTCCCCGGCCCCTCCGCGGCCCCCCGGGATGCCCGGGGGGGATTTGGCCGGAGCGGCGGCGCGGGATGGGGAAGGGAGGATAGCGAGGATGACTTCAGCCCATTACTCAGCCGCCGTCACGGCCTGGCAGAGCTCCCGCGCTATTCCGGGCCGTGACGCTCCAGCCCCGCCACTTTGGGCCTAAACCGGCGGGGTTTGGGTGATCTGGGGAGGAGGAGCGGCCCCGGGAGCTGAGGAGCAGGGCGAGATTCGGGATGAGTTCGGGAAGCGCCGCCGCAGAAGTGCCCGGAATTAGTGTTGATAATGATTGTTGTTATCTCATTAAGGGTGTAATTAGAGCCCGGTGCCGCCCCCAGCCCGGTACCGGCGGGTCGGGGGTTGCGGGGGTTGTTGGCACCGGCGGGGCTCGTTGAGCCCCGAACCGGCCGCGTTTTGCCCCAAAAGCCGCCGCGGTTTCCTGCGCTCGGAGCGGCGCCGGGAAACGAGGAAATCGCGTCAGCGGTGCCGGGAACCGAACCGGGGCGGCGGGGGCGGGACACGGCGGGGACACCGGTACCTGATAAACACCTGGCGGGGGTGTGACACCGGTAACTGCACACACAGGTGTGGGACAGCGGCACCTGTACACACGGGGGGGTGTGTGTGTGAGAGAGACACCTGTACCTGCACACACAGGCACACAGGTGTGTGTGTGTGTGTGTGTGTGTGTGTGTGTGTGTGTGTGTGTGTGTGTGTGTGCGGGGCACCTGCTGCACACCTGTACCTGCACCCGCCCGCACACACGGGCACACGCACCTGGCCGTGCCCACCTGCACACGGGCACACGCCCCTGGCACCTCTGTGTGTGTGAGCGCACCTGGGCCCCCGCGCTCGCGCACAGACCCCGCCCCGCGCACGCCTGTGCCCAGGTGCGCTCACCCTCAGCCGCGCGCGCGCTGCCGCCTCAGGACTGCAGCTCCCGGCGTGCCCCTCGCGGGGGGCGGGGATCGACAGCGCGGCCGCCCAATAGGAGAAGGGGCGTGTTGGCTCCGGCCAATGGGCAGCCAAGGGGGCGCGGCGGCCCCGCCCCTCGGTCACGTGGCGCGGGCGCGGCCGGTGAGCGCGAGCGGGAGCGGGGGCACCGGAGGGGCTCAGGCGGGACCGGGGGGCGTGGGCAGCACCTGGGAACCCCCTCGGGACCCCCTCTGCCCGCCCCGCTCCTTCCCCAGGTTGGCATCGCCGCTTTTCGCCGTTTTCCCGGGGTTTTTCCTCAAAAACACGGGGGGGATTTGGGGGCGGCGAGCCCGGAACGGGGGCGCAGGGGGGAGGCACGGACGGAGCAGCCTCGGGCCGGTTCCGGTTCCCGACGGGCAACCCCAAATCCCCCCGACTGCCCGGTCATTTTAGGGGAGCAGCAGCAATTTGGGGTCTCACCCCCCACCCCCGTTTTTCCCCTCCCAGGTCCCATCCCGAACCCACAGGCAGCGATTTCCCCCCATGGAGAAGAACCAAGAGCCGCAAGGAGACCCCCGGGACCCCCCCAGCCCCGCCCAGCCCGCCGTGAGTGCACCCCGAGGGTTTCTGGGGGGTGCTGAACGCCCCAAAATTCGGGGAAGGGAGGGGGGAGCGCGAGCAGCGCTTTGGCCGCCGGTGGAAGTGAGGACGAGGCAGAGAAATGGGAAATTCCCAGCTTTGGGTGGGGGGCGAGGGGGGCAATGGACCCAAAATGGCATTTCTGGGGGGAGAGGTGAGCGGTCCCATAGGAACGGGATGGTTTTTGTAAATATTTTTTATCCTCGTGAGGAAAAGGGCTTTGGATTTTGTGGCGCTGGAGCTTTTCCCTCCCCCCAGCAGCTTTTTATTTCACACACACACACAAAAAAAAAAAAAAAAACAAAACCCAAAAACCCAAAAAAGAAAAGAAAAAAAAAAAGAAAGCTTTGAACTCTTTCAGCCGTTAAAATCCGGTGTCTGTCACAAGCCGTGAAATGAATAGAAAGAACAAAAAAAAAAGAAAAAAAAAAAAAAAGACTGAAAAAAATAGAAAAGGACGGACTTGGGAGCCGAACAGCTTCTTTGCCCAAAAATAGCAACAAGTTTTATAACTCCGGAAAATGTAGAACAAACAAACGAGGAACATTTTTAGCTGAGAAAGGCGGCGGCGGCGGCGCGGGGAGGGGCGGGGGGGGGCTGAATTTCGGAATTTCTGCCCGTCTGTTTTCCTGGAAGCCGCTCCTCGTGTTCTCACCCGCATCCAGCGCTTTGACCAACTTGGCCACGGGCCCGGGGCTGCCGGGGAACGGCCCCGGAGCTTCGGGGAACGGACACGGAGCTGCCCGGGGCTGTAGGGAACGGACACGGAGCCGCCCGGGGCTGCGGGGAACGGACACGGAGCTGCCCGGGGAACGGACACGGAGCTCCCCCGGGGCTGCGGGGAACGGGGCTGCGGGTGAAGGGGTCGCAGCTCCCCCCAGACTCATCCCCGTGTCCCGCAGGACGCGCCGGGGGCCGGGGATGGCGCCGAGAGGGACAAGACGGTGGGAGAAGGTGGGGACAAGGACAAGGAGGAGAAGGACGAGGAGGACAAGGACAAGGAGAAGGAGGAAGAGGAGGCTTTCCTCGTCAGCCTCTACAAGTTCATGAAGGAGCGGCACACGCCCATCGAGAGGATCCCGCACCTCGGCTTCAAGCAGAGTATGTCCGTGCCACCCGGGGACAGGGACAGGGACAGGGGGGCGGCCGTGCTCGGGTCCCGTGTCCTCCTGACCCACAGCACTGGGGGGATGAGTCCCCTTGATTATAATAATAAATCAGTCCCCTTGATTTATTCCCAGTTAACCTCTGGAAGATCTACAAGGCCGTGGAAAAGCTGGGAGCCTACGAGCTGGTGAGTGTGGCCGTGGAGCTGGGGTGGCCCCAGGGTGCCCGGGTGTCCCCTGGGCATCCGAGTGTCCCCTGGGCACCAGGATGTCCCTTGGGCATCTGGCTGTCCCCTAGGTGTCCCTAGGGATGCCGGGGATCCCCATTGTATCCAGGTGTCCCCCAGGATGCCCGGGCTCACCTCTCCCCCTGTCCGTCTGTCCCTCCCTCCCTCCCGCCGCAGGTCACGGGCCGTCGGCTCTGGAAGAACGTCTACGACGAGCTCGGGGGCAGCCCCGGCAGCACCAGCGCGGCCACCTGCACCCGCCGCCACTACGAGAGGTGGGACCGGGCCGGGGCCGGGGCGCTGCCCCGCCGCGTGCCTCAGTTTCCCCCGGCGCGGCGCTCACCGCGCTCCCCGCTCGCTCCGCAGGCTCGTCCTTCCCTACGT